CTTCTTGCCCATTTAGTTACCCAAAATGCCTGTATATCTATCGACAGTGGATTTACCAGCTTAGGAGAAAACATGAGAGATTACACAGGGAGTGGATCTAGACATTACATCAAAGAGAAGTTTTCTAAAGCCAGGTGACATCCTTTCTGCATGATTATACTACATTCTGAGCAACAGCTATGGGGGGGGTGTGGAATAAATAAAGAACACAGGCTATTTGCTATGACACCTTAAAAACTAGCCCAAGCATTCCTTAGTCCACTGTATTTTTAGTTTATAGTTGAAAAATTGGTACATAAACATCTGCTAAGACATGCAGTACCTTTAATTAAGGGCAGATCTCAAACCTCACCATCAGACCTGTGCTTTATAATTTTATGCATCAATTGTCCAAAGGGAGGCCTGGCCCTTTATTATTCATCGGAGGTTTCGCAGCAAAGAAAGATGCTGGAATTGTTTTAGAATTAAAACCATGCAATGACTATAAGCAAAGCAGGCCTTTAACTGCAATTCTGTTCTCAGGAACTTGTGCTGCCTCACAATCCCTGTGTTTTTCACATCTGTCACGTATGACACAGACGTGGAGCACAGCAAAGGCAGAGGAGGAGATTTCAGGTATTCTTGAGAAACTATGACACAGCTGTTTTCAAATCCTAAGCAAGAATATCTCACACTGAAAGAGCAGAATTCCCCCCTCCCCAGTTCAATTACAAAAAGCAGGAGAGGGTTACTAGAGATTCCAAATTGCCCAATTATCCCGTGCAGTCCAATCGACGTCTTCAGAACAGTCTCTATGGTGGCAATAGTTCCTTTCTTCATTGGGGGATTAAATTGGTTCACGTGCTCTGAATAACCTAATCACTGCTGCCAATACAGTAACAAATGAAGGGAAAAATCTGCCTTAGGAGCTAGAAAAATATTTACAGGCCACACTACTCCAGCAAGAAGCCTTTTAGTGCTATTTCATAGTATCGGGCAGAACGTAAAGCAAAATCCGGTATCTATACCTAAAATAAAAAGCTCACAACAGCAATTAGGGTCCTAAGATACCTTTACTCAAGCCTATGACGAAATTTTCAAGAAGGATGGCTTGGGGGAAAATGAAGTCCAAACACCTAATGCTAAAATACTGAGCAGATAAACAAAGAGCATCAGAGACATGCACAACACAGTGTAATCATTACCAAAAAAACAAGGCAGCAAAATCAGTCGGAAATATTAGATAATAAAAACAGTCATGCTACATTAAAAACATATTCATTCTCTTTAGTTAATTAATTTAAAGGTTTCCTAGTCTGCATTCCTCTATTTAATGAAGCCAACAGCAAAACAACCCTAGAATTTGCTAGCACTAGCTACCCAAATCTAAGCTGAATTTTAATATTAAATACACGGATCTATTTGTTAAGCAGAAGTAAACTAGCACAGTTTTTTCTGACAATATTAAAAACTAAGTAAACCTTAATTCAAAACAAGTATTTCACAATTAAAAAACATCCATCTATGACAATCCACTAAGCACAATTCAACAAAAAGGCCTCAGAAAATGATGCTTCTAAATCATTAGTCTGTACATCAGCAATCTTACAATAAGCAGGCCCTGAGCACATACCATCAGGGTTTTTTGGATACATTTCTTTCATTAATCTCCAATATTAGCAGCAGCAGCATCACTCACTCTTCCGTTCCTTTCCTCCTAAAATACATTCCCCAGGAGTCCTTTCAGAGCAATTTTACCAGCGTTTCCGAGAGGTCTCTGAGCCCCATCCCTCCGCTCAGAGGCAGCAGGAATGTCTGCATTTGTAACAGTCCATGGCTGCACAGGAGGGTGGCAGGGAGGGCGCCTGGACCAGCCCCGAAATGCTGAGTTCTGTGCTCTCCTGCAGCACACGTACACACACCACGGCCCCGGCCCCCTCGGCACCCCCGGCACGCCGAGCCCACACACAAACATGCATTACTCACTGGATTCTATTCTTTAGCCTCTTCAGCATGGAATTCTTTACAGGGTAGTAGGTATGAAATGAAACATTTTCCCTTTACTCCACGGATGCTGCTGTGTGAACACCATTAGACACCAAGGACAATAGGCAGGATCAGCTCGAACATTAAGAGCAAATATTTAATGGAAGACTGGTTACCCCCGTCTCTCCCTTTCACATCTCTGCCTCATGTATCCAGGCACGGGTGGTACTGGCTCCCTTGAGAGGCTGTAGCGAGCAGCTGAGGCACAAACTAAAACATGGCATGGATGTCAAGGAGCTGATGTCACCAAAACAAGCATTTCTGATAAAAGCGGCAATTCCGTTAGGGAAGTCCTACAAATCGATGGGAACTGTTCAGCTGAACGTGCTGCGTTACACAATGACTGCAGCACCAGGAGTGATAAATCACAGCAAGGGCTGTCAGCAGAAAGAAGCTGAGACTACAATAACTAAGTTATAAAAGTGCCCATCAGCTGCTGGGATCCACAGCACGGGATCATCAGGGCTGCGGTTTCGGGGAACAGGAACCAAACACCTCCAACAGCCTCGTTCCAGATCAGTCCCAAAAGAACAGCTAATCTGCTGAAAAAGTGAAAGTATCCATAAATCCAAGAGCAGTCTCAAAGTCTGCCATCTTTCCCAGGAAGCACTGCTCAAGCACCAAGGCTCCAGTCCAGCAGATGCTGGGAGCGCCTGGCAGGGGTCACATGGAGTGTCTGGGAAGAGAAGGGAGAGGTTTCAGCCCTCCTGTCACCTCAGCACAGCAGCACTGCCAGCCCAGCCCGTGGGCACAGCAGAGTTGGACACCAGCAGCTGTGCCTTTGCAGCGGGAGCTGGGGCTGGTGCCAACAGAAAAGTGCAAAAATTCAGGACCAAAGGAACCCCGAGACAATTCAGGCACAGATGCCGGAGACTGAGCAAACTCTGTCTCCCAGACAGCACCACATCAATATAAGAAAAAAGGTTCTTCAAGCACAAAAATAACTTTTCTTAAGTCATGCAAATAGAATTGAAGTATTAGTCCCACGGTTTATTCCATTAATGGATTACATGATTTTATTTCAAGCTTTGCTGGCTGGTACAATCTCCAACCCGTATCAGTTTAACAAAGGTGAGGATAGCTGGCAGCTGTATCATTAAATTTCAACGTCAATGCAAACCATTCAGCATGTATTTCTGCACTCTTCCAAAGCACTGTTGTTCTGAAGGAGCTGGAAAGAAAACCCTTCAATTCTATGGAAATCCACTACAAAAGATTTGCAATTCAGAAGATCACATACTACTGGAAAGAGTCACTCCGTGACCTAATAGGAACACGTCTGAGCAATGGATTGCAAATGAAATTATTTCACAACTGAATAGTTTTATTTAAAAACTCCATTTCAAACTGACTGTAGCTCTGTAACAAACCAACAGTCCACGCTCAGACACTGCTAATTTAAGTAGAGGCCCATTTTGGATAGAGCAACTGCTTCACTGTTTATTTGTCTCTGGAAAAAACCTGAGGCAAACTCACAAGCTCCTTTATAGTGCAAACATGATGCTCTAGAAAAGTGCAAACATAATATTCTCACTTCTAAAAGTATTTCCTAGGAACATAACTACAGTGATAAAGACACAAAGTAAGAATTCGAAACAGGATGAATATTTTCTGAACAAAGGACAGTATTTTACTCCTGACAAAATAAATAGTCCTTTATATCACCAATATCAATCCCATTTCCATCCAGCCCAAGTGCAATGCAGAGAAATACCCTACAGACAGAATAACCAGGTCAGCTGAGCCACACTCAGCTGTGGCTGCTGGAGCTCAGCTCATGGCTTGAGAGAACTGAAACTTCCAGCAAATTAACCCAAAAAGCCTTTCTACTGGAATATCTACATCTTTAATGAGTTCATTAAATTAGGTGTCTCAGGGATAATTTCTTTAACTCTTCTAATCAGTGCAGAAAAGTCTTTATTTTTCTCTAATTGGCTGAACAAGGACAGCAGACAGTGTTGCACATTTACTCTTCTTTCTTTCTAAAAGACAACTTTAATAACCTGGTGAACACGAAAACTTGTCTAGTTTTTACATTTAACCTTTCACCTACTGTAGTTCAGATGTGAAAAATCATATTTGAACTGTAATATTTTGGTATTTATTTCACCTCACTCCATCTTCATGAAAGCCCTCAACGGAGCAATTATGAGTATTAATTCTCTAATTAAAAATATTCATAACTATTACCACTGCAGCACTCATTTTTAGCCAGTCTGTCAGTTAAATCCTGGTCAATCAAGTACTCTTCTCTAGTATGCATTACTTGCTTTTATCACCAATTAGTTTTATCCCTTCTTCTATTTTCCAAAGAGAAGAGCAAAGGTCCTTCAAGTTCTTCAGTCAGCTTTTCCTCATGCTCTGCTGAGAGCATCAGCTGGTACCTCTGGCACCCAATTATTCCCATTCCTTTCCTTAACATTTACCAAGATATGAACTAATGTCCTGATGCCATCCCCCCATAATGAAAAGTGACTCTACAGCCATTTAATCCTTTTATCCCCGTGCAGCTCAGGCTACTAAAATGCAGGTAAACCTTATCAATTATGTGTCCTTCCTCTGGAGCTTTATCTACCTTTCACAGGATTATTTTTACAGAGATTAATAACCTTTTTATTGAAATGGCTGTATCTCCCTCCTTAGTACATCCCTTCTTTTCCCTGCAAGTTAAAATCCCAAAAGAACCACAAAAGTAAATGCCCATGTTCAAATATGCATCTAAAATCCTGCTAAAATTCTCCTTCTCCCAATATATCAACTACTGGAAACCAGTATTAATCCTCAGAAACACTGAAACACTGCTACAACATTGATTTATGTAATTTCTCTTGACAAAATATTAAAGATTTTACATTCTTTTAAGAAAACAGAACAGATACACGACTGTAATGCTAGATTATGAAAATCTTTTAATATTTTTTTTTCACATGACTGCAAAATATTTAGCTAAAATTTGATAACATTTTAGTACTCACTATCTTCTCCTGGACAAGGCATGCCGGGCTTCTCTGGAATACTTGGGAAAACTAAAACAAAAACATTAGATTTTTAAGGTAAAAGATTCTCAGTAGTCCTTTTTCCTTGATTTTTGAGTATATTTACACAGAGACAGTTTCTGGAAGCCTTTAAATAATTCTGCCTGAGAAATGATGTAATCAGAATTTGGTTCCAGACTGGCAGGATCTTACACTGGAGTAAAGCATTAACAAATCTGTGCAGCTAAAACTCAAAGCCCCCTCAAAGCCTGCTGTAGTTCAGCTTTGGGCTCCACTTCCTTCTTACAACAAACTGCAGGGCACCAGCTCCACCCAGAATGTTACTGGCCAGGCAGAGGAGCTGCTCCAGCTGCAGCTCCCACTTGAGCAGCTGTTGGGATTATCCCAGAGAGGTTCCTGAGCTGTGCAATACTTGCCATGGATGATGAGCCCCTCGTCCCTGTTCTGGCAGTACAAACGGAAGGCTTCCTCCAGCTCCATCTGAGACGAGATGGTACAGGGGTCACCTACAGGGACAACAAAGGCCCAGGCAGCTTTAACATGCAGGAATTCAGGGGAGAATTTCAATTAGTCAGTAAAAAAAAAATGCATCAGCCTCAAGGATTGCCTTTCTTTGAATGACTTGTTACTAAGCTGGCACTTTGATCAAAGCCAAAATAGAGTAACAGAATTATTCCTCCCAACTTTATCAACACTGAGTAGATAGAACTACACTACATTGGTTTGCAACAGGATAACACAACATAAAAGGGAATAGCCAGACTTAAAGATCCCCTTGTTTTCCTGTCTGCTTGTGGTCACGTTATCAGCATTACCTTGTGAGGGTTATTTTTGCTAAAACTCAGTAATTAATCCCCAAATCCCCTTAAGCAGACACACGTAAAGTACAGAATGTCACACTGGACAGGGAGCCAGCAAACAGCAAGGGTGTCACCCTGACCCCCCGGGAACAGCCACCTCCTGAGCACACTGGGGGACACCTGGCCTTGGGACAGGCAGGCCAAGTGATGACACCAGTGCCCACCCACATATTATGTTTGATCTCTTATTTTTAAAAAATTATTTTATAAATCATTTATGAAACGATGCATCCAGGGCCCATCTACCCCTCTTTGAAGGCCACTGCTGCTGCTGATCTATAAATACTGCAATAATGCAACATGAAAGACACTGGAATTATTTGTACTGCAAATCAACAATCCACATTAGTTATATGTTTATGGGATTTTACTATGAGTGAGCTATTCATAGCTTAAACATTTTGCATCTTGTCAAAAACAAAGAAACACTACAAAAGCCCCACAGAAAGTCTGTTTTCTTCAGCTCTTGGTAGGTTTTCTTTATTCATTAAGCCATCGGCAATTGTTTGCTTTTAGTTGGTTCAAAGAGAACATCTGTTTGTGCAATCAGACAAATGAACTTCAATTCCATGTGGCAAGAAGTGGAAACACTCGGATGCAGACACAGGATAACTCCCAAAACCCGGGAGGACTGGGGACAGCCAAAACAGCAGATTGGCTGGAACTCCACAGCTCAGAGCCAGGAATTAGAAGAAGGGTTGTACAGGTATGGATTTAACCAAGGCTGGAGGAAAATAGTTATTAAAACTGCAACTGAGGAGATTTGTTGTTTTAATTTAAGTAAGCCTCAAGAAGCCAATGCAACAGATAGCAGGACTCGTGTCTTAAAATCCTCCAACACAAAACTCCTGAGGTTCTCTTCTTCCCTGCAACAATCTCCCTTTATTAACAGGGATGCAGTTCAAACAGCTGAGCACAGGCAAGGTAATTATCCTCCATGCCCTTCTGATCAGGTTACTTTTTATTACACCACCACGAAAATGAGGGACAGAAAACAGGTTAGCAGAGTTGCCTCTGTCTTTCTTGGTAATCAGAAGATAAAGAGTAAATTTAAAAATAATTGATATTACTCCTTGATATCTTAAAAAGGACTGACTCTTCTTTGACTATAGGCTACCTCCTTCCCCAGACATTACTTTAAAATTCAATTCACTCAAACACTGCACAGCTAAGAGAGCAGTACAGACCACTATCAGAGAAACCAAAGCACAAAGTTACAGATATCAGCCAAACCAATTTAGTATTTTTTCATCTTTCTGTATTCAGCTCTAGGAGTTGTGCAGACCATGGCATTGACAAGGTGCAGATGGGTTACATATAAAGCCTTCACTTCTCCAGAGGTGAATTCAAGTGCTACTGTGATCAAACCTGATGTCTTGAGGCTCATTTCTCCCTGCTTTGTAAGACAGGGTTCTGTACTTAGATATTTAGAAATGACCACCAGCTCCACAATATATCTGTTTGTACAAGTTTCCTCAATGCCCCTTCTCTGTCCCACAATGAACAACAACCCCAAGAATGCCCAAGCAGTATTTCAGCCCCATACCTTCATCATCAATCCACTTGAGGGTAATTGGCTGTTCCTGCTGCAGGTTGCACATCTCGTGCACTTCATCACAGAGCTCATCGTAGCTCATTGAGGCATCCAGGTTTGTTATCAGGATGTCCCTGCAGGAGATGAACACATCAGGTTCCATCAGAAAACACCTGCATTGGCCTGCACATCCCAACAGTTCCATCTGTGGACACTAAGCTGCAGAATCACACTTAGAGAACGAGCATTCCTCACATAAAATGCTCCCACTATGTCACCAGGATTACATCTCTCAGTGCTTAACTTCAAAAAAAATACTTTAGTATGGAGGAAATAATTGTGTTAATCACCTATTTTTAATGCACGTTTACCTGGGTGAGCAAAGTTCCCTTATTATAATTATCACCCTTTGAAGTGTTGTTAGGAAAAACCAGAAGCTTTCATAAAAATTAATTTTTTTAATCCAGGTAATTCTTCCATCAGGAGATAAGTAAGATCTCCATTATTGTAAAATCCTTTTAAACAGTGGGCTTTTCCTCACATCCACTATAGTGCTGGAGAGGAAGCTTTGATTAGGTGAATTCTCACAAGATGTAATTACAAGACAATTCAGATAAAATCTTACTCAAATTCTGCATCTTGTGCTCTACTTTTACAGTGCTCAGAGAAGGTGGGCCCAGTGCTGAACTGGGCTGATGGAAACCCTCAGTCTCTCAGGCATTTGGGACAGTAACTCCTGATACAGTGAAAGCCCACACAGGACTGTCAAAGCAGCTCAAAGGTTAAAAAAAGAAAAGAGATTATGCAGAACAAAATCTCATGATACAAACTAGACTTTCTCCTATTTTTAAAATAGTTTTCAAATGACTATGAGAAACCACTGAATAAACAAGTGTAAGAAGAAACAGTAGATGAACTTAAGTCATTTTGCTGCCTTCAAAACCTTCCAGGGGATAATTAGGAGAGTGTTCTGTAGTTAATGGCTACTGGCATGTGTAATTCTTTCAGCTCTTAGTCTAACACAGCAAATCAGCAGAAGTTGCCCAATATGACTGAGATAACTTTCCTATTTCCATACTGTGTGACAAGTCATTTTAGCAAAAATGTTATATGATATATTCTGCCTATTTATGTCTTTCAGCCAGCAGTGGAATAGTACTACACTGAACTAAGAAACTTAAATTCCACAACTTACATTTTATATTATATGCATTAATAACTTTCCATTTTGCCTTTGCTGAGAAAAATTACAAGCAAAGCTCTAAGACAATCACTTTAAAGAACTGCACTGTTCCAAATTCAGATTAAAAGCACTGCTACCTTTTCAAGTGTAACTTTAATCTACACTTTGTAAAGCTCTCAAAGAACAGCAACTTAATTCTTCATAACAGCAACAGCAGAAGCAATACATACACCACCTGCACACCTGTAACCCCATATTATCTACAATACTGAGAGCTGTCAGGTGAGGCTCAGTTTAAGAGCATTTCCCTGTCAAAGAAGTCATGTTTTATGCATTTAGGAAAGTAAGAGACCAAACTGGTTCTCACAGCAGCGTTTGAGGGCTGGTGCAATGCCTTGCCCCGAGACAAGGTCACTAACAAATGCAGCTCATTATTTAATGCAGTGCCACCACAAGCTGCAATCAAGCAGCTGTAGGTCTGTGAAAGCTGGACAATCACACTTTAAACCTGAAAATACAGAGTGAGACAACACTGCCACACACACTACAACCTCCAACCAAGGCTGGCAAATACTAATCAGCCTTGAATTGTTAACGTTATTGTAACAGATGCCATTCTACAGGTAAATTAATGACCATATTCATGATGTCCATGTTCCTTCTTAATGTCTCTACAGGCACATCGGGCAGGGCTCAGAGAAGTGGAAATCACTCATTGTTTAACACTAAAGAACCCCACAGGACTTTTTGGAAAAGATATTTGGAACTGGACACTACACAGTTATATGAAGAGCTAAGGACCAGTGAGTTCTGTAAGAGCAGTTCCAGCAAGAGAATCATCATTCCCACTGACAGAGAATGTGTGTCCCCACTCGGAGCCAAGGTAACACGCAGCAAACAAAGCTGCATCTATTGAAGTGATTTCAAACAACCAGGTGTAAACCAAGTAACTGTAATAACAAAATAAGAATTGCACAAGTTGCCTTCCCTCTGCAATCTGCTCAGGCAGTTATTTCTACTGTGCTATGTCAGGAACTCTGTCACACCCAGAGACACGAATACCTGAGATACTCAGACTCCAGAGATCCACTCGTTTTACAACTTCCTCGTGCTCTTTAGCTGGGATTTCAAGATGGTATTTGCACTGTTATTTTAATTTTAGCAGCTACCTGAGGGAGCTTGTCCCTAATTCTGAAGCTGTCCAGCATCAATGATTCCCTGCAGTCAAATCAGTTCAAAAGCTGAGTGTAGTACTGGAACGGCGAGACAGAGATGACAGTGACACGGGTTATAATGCCAAAACCAGTCAGTTTGAACTCAGAGAATTGGATCAATAGGACAAAACCAAAATTCAGGGAGGAACTCGTTTGTAAACTGACACACTACAGACTTCTCAGCTAATGGAAATGACTGAATGACTTCACATCAACACTACTTGCCAGCAAACTATTCCAAATGATTTACCCCCACTTCTCTTGGTGTTTCTAGTGCCTTCCCTTACAGAGCTAAGGCAGCTCTCCTACTGCATGGACTGCTGGGAAATTTTCCTTCAAGTAGCAAATTTCTACATTTTAAGACCAAACTTTGACATGGATTCCCACCACTAAAACTTTATCAATGTTTTTACTAAGCAAATCTTCATATGAAAGTTTAATCTGTAGATAAACGAGCTGCAAATTAACAGATTCTACAACACCTTCAATTTACAGGTAGCAAAACGAAGACATAAAAAAATCAAATGACTAAGTATAAGGAAATAACTGGAAGTCAGTGGCACAGCTGGAAGTTGAAGTCAGATAAAGTAAAAGCAGATACATTTTCACAGTAATTTATGAGAAAACTGGCATTACCAAATTAATACAATTGCTCTGGAATTCTAAACTCAGAACCTCAAACTACCTGGCATTGACCTGGTAGATAAGTTTAAGAACAACCACAGTAGTAGCAACATTTACTTATATAGCAGTAAAACATCACAAAAGATCACTCAAGTCATTTACCAAATGCCAGCAAGTTCAGTCTAAATACTTCAAGTTAAGGATCTACTCAGGCCAAACATTTAACTCCTCAAATGATTTCAACTTAGGTCTTGAAGGAAGACAGAGACCAAAGCAACCTTATTTTACAAGGTACTCACAGTGGCAGCAAATGAATTAGATTAAACATACCTGAAAATCCAGATTTCATGTTGCAGTAATAAAACCTTCCTGACTCTACTGACAACTGAGTGAAGTCAAAAAGGGCTGTGACATTTTTATTACAGATAAAATGTCATAACTGCATCTGGATGCAGGAGATGGAGCTAGACCTGCCTGTGACCATGGGAATCAATAATCCATCACTCAGAATAACTGTATGCCAGTTATGCACATTTTCCCCCCTTCTGAGAGAAGAATAAATTAACTTTCCTTCCTGATCAGCATGCTGCAGGACTCTGAAAGGTATTTTAATAGCCCAGAAGTTTACCTGCCTGATCTGACATTAATTACAAATCCACCAATGCCCTGGTTACTCTATCACTAGGTCAGACCACGAACTCCTGCTCAATAGGCTTCAAAAATAGACAGGGCACAACACAGAGGAAAGGACATGCTGACTTACCCACTGTAGTGTGTTTTTACTTTGATGAAGTCTTTGTTCAAATCAATTTTTGAGCCCATTCTGCTAGGCATGGTCTGTATTTAGCAGTTTAAACGAAACTATAAATATGTAGAAATAAGTTCATTCAAGACAGATAACTAATTCTGAAGTGAAGAGCTTCACATGTGAAATATGAGCTTCTGCTCCAGATGACTCCCAATCCAGCTGCATATGAAAAAACAAACAGAATGTTGATGAATATACACACACTCTGCTAAACAAATGAGTTGTGTCAAATTTTAGAAACACAAATAGCTTTACATGGAGCAGCAAGAAATCAAAAAGAAAAATGTATAAGACCACTGACCTGCACAGAAATTAAACGAGATTGGTTAAAAATACCCTGTGCAATTTAGTTTTACAGAAATATCCCAAGCGTTTGAGGATGTTTGTTTAAAAAAAAACAACCATCCAACAGCTCCCTCTTGGCTGAAAATACTCCCAGGAAATCTTTACTTATTCATCAACACAGCGTCTGGCTCTTTTCTTCCACAGAACAGAGTAACTAGAAATAGTTTTTATATACATAGAACGCTGAAGTCAATTGACGTCGGTTACAAAATCACCCAAGAGAAGCAGGAGGGGAACTCCACGGGGCAACTTTAACTCACCTTTACGATCGGAAGGTGACAAACATCCTGTTTATTCCAAAGTACCGCCTCACACACCTCTGTGTGTTCCCAGACGCCTCCCTGACCCCGCTGTCCGGGCGAGCCTGGCCACAGGTACCGGGGAGGGAAGACCCCCCAGAATTCCAGACCCTCCTGTCCCGGGGGGCTCCGGGGGACACGCGGCCCCTCAGCCCCGGCCTGCGACACCGGGAGGCGACACCGCCGCTCGGGACGAGGCGGCGCCGGCACTTCTCCGGGCAGAGCGGGCTGTGCCCGTGCCCGTCCCCTCACCTGCTCCGACCGCGGGGGTCCCGCCCCACGCACCAGGGTAAGCAGGGGCCGCTCCCTGCGCGGCGCTCGGCGACACCTTCCGCGGCCTCAAGTTGCTCAAAGTCCCGCGAGGAAGTTTCGCGGAGGACTTTGCCTCGCTGCCGGCGGGACGCCGGCGGGGAGCAGCGGCGGCAGAGCCCGCAGAGCCCCCGGAGCCTCTCAGGTTCCCCCTCAGGTCCCGCCTCAGAGCCCCTCCGGCGTCCCCCGTCCCCCCAGCCGCGGTCCCGCCTCAGCGCCCCGCGCCCGCCCCCGCCCGCGGCAACATGGCGGCCTGAGGGCGGGAGCGGCGGCCAATGGGGAGCCAATCCCCGCCCGCGTCCCGCCCCCCCGCCGCCAATCGCGGCGCGGGAACCGTTACCTGGGGAGACCGGAGCGTCCCGGCCAACCAGAGCTCGCGGGGGGAACACCTGCGGCCAATGGGAGCGCGGCGCGGCAGGGAGGGGCCGTGAGGGGACAGGGCTGAGGGGACAGTGAGGGGACAGGGCTGAGGGGACACAGTGAGGGGAGACAGGGCAGAGGGGACAGTGAGGGGACACAGTGAGGGGAGACAGGGCTGAGGGGACAGAGAGGAGGGACAGGGCAGAGGGGACAGTGAGGGCTGAGGGGAGGGGACAGTGAGGGGAGACAGGGCTGCTGAGGGGACACAGTGAGGGGACAGGGGACAGTGAGGGGAGACAGGGTGAGGGGACAGGGCTGAGGGGACAGTGAGGGAGGACAGGGCTGAGGGGACAGGGCTGAGGGGACACAGTGAGGGGAGACAGGGCTGAGGGGACAGGGCTGAGGGGACAGTGAGGGGAGACAGGGCTGAGGGGACAGTGAGGAGGGACAGGGCAGGGGACAGTGAGGGGGGACAGAGCTGAGGGGACAGTGAGGGGGGACAGGGCAGAGGGGACAGTGAGGGGGGACAGGGCTGAGGGGACAGTGAGGAGGGACAAGTGAGTGGACAGTGCTGAGGGGACAGTGAGAGGGGTCAAGTGTGAGGGGACAGTAAGGAGGGAGAGGTGTGAGGGGACAGAGATGAGGGGGCAGAGGGAGGGAGACATATGTGAGGGGACAGGTGACAGGTGAGGGGGACAGCACTGAGGGAACAGGTGAGAGGTGTGAGGGGACAGGTGACAGATGGGGGGACAGTGCTGAGGGGACAGGTGAGAGCTGTGAGGGGACAGGTGACAGATGGGGGGACAGTGCTGAGGGGACAGGTGAGAGCTGTGAGGGGACAGGCCCTGTGTGCCCCCCCCAGGCTGTCAGAGCTGCTTCCCCAGAGGTTTCCCAGAAGCCCAGCAATGGGATGCCCTGTGAGCGCCCATCCAGCACCTGCCAGCAGTGGGAAAAGGGAAACCACAGCCAAAGTTATCATAAAGAGGTAATAAAATAACAGTATTAGAGTGGCCAGAGCAGAGGGAGAGAGAAAAACAGCAGAGTTGTTGTATTGGTGCTGTTCGAGTACCCACAGTCTCACAAGAGCCAGCCTGTGACGTGGTTAATGCCCTTGGCTTTGTAAAGCTGGGTTTGGGTGTTTTTCCCTAATACTCCTTTGATCTTTTGCTTCCAAACCGTGAATCCTCTGTGACTGAAGCAGGAACATCTCCCGTGTGCAGGAGATCAGAGCTTTGCCTGTTCCTCTGCTGCAGGCTGGGATGGTGAACTCAGAGAGTCCTCTAGTGGAAATGCTGCTTACCCTGCCCTGATTTCCTTGTGTAATTTAAAACTTTTCCAGGCAAACAAGCTATCCAGGAGAAAGGTTTTCTTTGGGGCCTTTCTCGATCTGTTCACATCCACCTTTGGGCAACACAACCCACCACATTTGAAAAATAAACCAAAAGAAGGAGTCACAACTATTAGATTTTTTTTTGGCTACCTGGAGTTGAGCTGTCATAATTGGTATTTTGAAAGGGGAAAAAATTCAGTCCTTAGTCTCAAGTTCTTTTCAGGCCCCATTTAGCACTTTCTCAGTATCTCTCTGGGCTTTTGGGTGTGTACGTGTTGAGTTTGCAGCACTGTAGCTCTGAACCTCCTTTTGCTCTTTCTGCAATCTTCCAAAACACAAATAAATAATAGTTGACGTTAGTTTAAGTAGAAGTAAAGTGGGAAAATTAATTCCCATCAGTCTAGATGTTTTCTCTGACACCAGGGAAATGCACCAAATGGTTTCATTTATCAGTCTTCAATCTGAATTATTTGTGTAGCCTCTGCTAATTTTATCTTAGTGGGAACTGTCAATATGGTTTCAAAGTTGGCCCTTGAATCTTCATGTGTTCCAAATGTCTCTGCTTAAAATGGAGAACATTATGTAAGATATGTCTATAAACATAATTCTTTCAGGTCAAGCTACACTTTGATCTCCAGCTCCTTGAGCTGTTGGATTGGGAGATAAAAGGTTCTTCAGAACTGTGATTTGAGGTTTTGTGGGGTTTATTCCTGGTTGTTCTGGGTTTTTTTTCCAGCACAACTTACCAAGGAGAAAAGCTCAGGTGCATTTTCAGGGCTTGATGAAAATCTGAACCTATTTTTACATCTTGCAGAGATATTTTGTAGTTGTTCTCTTAGTACTCATGCTGTTATTTTAGAAGTCTTATTTTGGGTTGGTTTGTATTTTCTTGTATTACAAAATTGTTTAAACAGTTGAATTTCCTAATAGATGCTTCTCACTTCTGGGCAGATGGTGTTTTTTGGAGAGGATGTTGGCTTTGCTCTGTACATTAGCTAACAGGGTTGTAACTGGTTTGAAAACACAACAAGCTGTAAATCCTGAGTGTATTCCTAAGCTTTTTGGTTTCCCTTTTTTTTTTTTTCCAGATGGCAGGCCTTGCACTTTTGTTTTCTATTGAGCCATCCTCACCTTAATGAAAAGTTGTAGTGTTGCTGCCTACTACACCTAGATTTGAAGAGCTGACAGGCTCCTACAGGTAATTTAATTTTATTCCAGGTTTAAATTAGATATTTGCTGCATCTAAAATTTTAGTTCATTTAAGAATTATTATTATTGTTATCTCTTGTATCAGATCTTTTTATTCTGAAGAGCAGACTATGAAGTGAACTGATGTGTTTGAGAAAGAGAAAGCTTAAAAAAAAAGAGGGTTTTTTCCAAATATTCGAGTACTGTTTTGAAAATAAGTCTATGATTCTACATTCAACCTCAGCACCCAATCATGGCACAGAATTATTTGCCAGTGGAGAAGGTGGTTTATTAAGGAATCACCTTAATCATCAGGAATCTGCTGCTGGTATTTCAGCTGCTGGGAGCCTGAGTTAGCTCGTTCTGGAATTGTGGTTTTGACTAAAAGTGAGGAACATCCCTCGTGCTGCTTTCCAGCCGTTCTTCATTATTTGGTGGCACTCCTGGCTCTGGCAGGAACTTGGAGGCTGAATTCCTTCAAGGATGTACATCTGCACGTTTCCAGCAGATGGCAAGAGATTCCCAGGCAACTCTCTGGGAACCACGGTTGTGCAGACAAAGCTTCCAAGTCCTAGTTCTTTATTTCAGTGCTGCAGGCTGCTGAGAACTGTCCTTTAAAAATTAGTTGAAGGGGAAAGAAATATGATAGCATTAATCCAAAGTACTGCCTCAGCCATCAGACACAAAGTACTTGCCTGTTTCGGACCAGGCTGACCAAAAAAACTCCTTTTCTCCCTCCTAAGTGCCCCAAGAAGAATCATTATGGCAACCAGTTCTTAAAGACAATTGTTGAGAAAAAGGGGCAATCAGTACTAGTGTCACCTCAGTTCAGTGGGAATGACCTTGGGCCAAATGCCATTAAGTTTGGGTGAAAATAATAAGGCAAAGCATTAATATATTTTAACATAAACTGGAGTAAAGCATATATCCTACATAACATCAGAAATCACCATGGTAATTCTTAGTAGATTTTCTTGCTGGCTTGAATATTAGTGTTTTTCCAGCCCATGTTAAAATAGACAAAATGAATAATGTTTCAAGACTATTTTAAGCCAACACCTCCCTTACTTGTCTGTCTTATATAAGATAGAAGCAACCAGAAGTTAACTCACTTGTTGACACCTCATTAGCCAGGAAGATAAAGAATTCCATGAGTAGCCCAAGCTACATATCTTTAAAAGCAAATAAAATCAAACCTCTGTGGTTTTGTGTTTGTTTTTTTTTCCAGGATATTTAAACAACCTGTTCAATTTAACAATACTATATGCACTGTAATTTATTAAAAAATTATAGATCCCTCCTGTCTTTTCTATATATGCACGTACAAGCTTGTATTTGTAAAAGTTGCACCCACGAAGATAAGGGTAGGATAATCTTAAATATATCTGTAAAAACATAATAAGTTTAAGATGTACAGAAATAGATCTTTTGTATTAGTCTGAAGCTGAAAGAAACGTAGCAATAAAGGAAGAACAGCCTGGATGGAGCATTATACCAGATGTTTTACAGATTACTCTGTATTCCATCACTCAGCCTTTGTTTAATCTTAAGGCTGGAGTAATTGTAGTACTGGAATAGCTCAATGGCCTATGTATTATTTTGCTACTTCCAGCTATGCCTGTTCCAATTGGCCAAAGCTGGCCAGTTATCCGTTCCTGTGGAATGAAAAACGTTCTCCCTGCCCCAGCTGGTGACCCCAGGAATGAACACCGAGAGTCTGGTGACACTTGTGCTGCTCTCACCCAGATACTCACCCAAGGAGCAGATAATGCACCCTGGATTTGTTGGTAACTTCTGTTACCCACTAACTGTGGTAAAGATGGTTGGGCCAAAATTATGGAGAAGAGTTTCCTTCAGAGTGTGGAGAATTTGAGGAGTGACTCAAACTGTCTTTTTTTGCATGTAAGGGTTTGCAGAGTGCAGTGCAAGAGAATGGAACAGGGAGACTGTTTGTGTGGGAGTGTGCTGGGTAATTATCACAGGGCTGAGTTTCTTGCCTTTTATGTAACACTCCTTGGAAGGTACAAAGGGTTGTAAATGAGGACTTTCAATCTCACTGTTTTTCATACCTGTGGGACAAGATTATATTGGTTTTGCCTAATATGTCCTCGTGCCAAAGAGAAGGAAAATTTCCTCATTTTCTTTCCCTTTTCAAGCGGGGAAAAAAAGGGAAAGAGAACTGAGGATCAAGTGAAGTTGAAGTACTGCGAGAGTTAAAGAAAAGGATACGTTCCCAGAGGTTTCTGGTGTCTCAGAAATGAGGGATATTTGGGTTTATTTTTTTGGACCAATCTTTTCACGGAACAATGAACTCCCAATAACATCTGATTAGTCCTGTTGGTGCTATATTTTGTGACAGCCTGGCCTTGACTGTCCTCTCAGATTTGTTTTCACTCTGCAGGAGTTTGCAAAAGGCACAGCAGTGACACCAAGCTGGTCCAAGGAGGGAGCAGATCCCTTGTGCCTTACATAATGAGGGGCTTAAATCTCCAACTCATCTCATTTAGGACACGGTGCCTTCCTCATCTCAGCTACCAAATCCACCCAAACCCACATGTTCGTTGCCAAATTTTTATTCAGTTTTCATTAAGAACAATTAGCTGTCTGTAACACATATTGCACGCAGTGTTATTTTAGTATCCAACAGGCTTTCAGCCACTGCAAGTGGTTTGAGCTGCTGTAATAAAGGGAGCAGGAGGGAGTTGCTTTAGCTTTTTTTCTTTGAACAAAAAATACTCTCAGAAACTTTCAGTAAGCTTTTTGTTATCTATTCTGCTTCAGAGACGAACATTCAGGGTGCTGTTTTCCTCCTGATGGGAAGTGCTTTTTTAGGTTAATGGCTGGGAGTATTTCAAACCGGAGCAATCGTATTAAGTGTTTTGTTGTCCCAACAGCAGAAGCCTCACCGAGTTAAATTGGTTTCGCTACATTATCTGTTGGATTAGCAAACCAGTTAGGAACTGATGGGAGAGCTTTTCCTTTGAGTGGGATAAATGCTCTCATTGCTACCCAGACACAGGACAGACATCTCTGTATTTTAACCTCTTAATAGAGCTCTCACTGCCAGCATTACTTTCAAACACATCATGCATTTCTTCATCTTTCATCTCGTGCTTTCTGATTCCTTCCAGCCTCTGGAGGCGGCAGCAGCCCGTTGTGCCATCAGTACAGCAGTTTGCACAAGTGCCCCCCAGAAAGCTCTCCTGAGCACACAGTGGCACTTCCTCCTCTGCTGGCAAGGCCAGGGGAGAGTTTTACCAGCCCTTGGGCCCTGAACAGGCAGGATGTCATTAAGGGATGAAATCTCTGGGGTTCTTTTGGTTTGCCTTTCTAATGCGTTTCATCTTCCAGTTCAATAGTTGGAATGTCTGTTTTGGCAGTTTACAGAAGCTCCAATTTCTGTATATGTACATTTTATTAACACTTCACATTTAGAATGATTACATTAACACATAGCCCACTCCTTTTCTCACAGACATGCCAGTCCATAGAGCAGAACTATAAATTGCTGAAAGGAACACAAATGCTTTCAGGTGCCTTCTGATCTGTCACATACTTTTTTTTATGACACTAGTAAAACCCATCCAAAGTCAGCATTCAACTGACATCAGATTTGGCTTATTAACTTTATTAAGGGCATCATGAAATTAGAGTTGAATAGGGAATTGCCTTTAGATGTTAATAGATCTAAAGTAGTAATAGATCTAAAGTAGATTTTTAAATATGATGATTTTAAGTGAAAAAAAAAATATAGAAGATTCAAATTTATGCAAAACTCCAATCAACTCACCATACTCCTGTACTGAAATGTCTCCTTAAAAGTTTGAATGGCATCTGAGTTTTCTGTTTCTGGCTCTGGAAACAGATTTAAGAAAATCCCACTCTTGGTGAGGGAGGTGTTTTGTCTTGTGCTACTCATGCAAGTGCAGTTCCAGTACCCAAAATCCTGTTCTCCCCTCTGACCACTTCGTTCCTGGGATGGACACGTTGCCATCTGTGGCTCACAGGGCACTTTCCTGACAGCCTGCAACCTCCTGGGATATTTCTGTCCTCTTGTTTGTGCTTCTGTGTGCATCACTGACATAGTCTGGCATTCTGGCTTTGGGGGTTTCTGAGGAGATCGCTGCCACCCCTGCCTTTGATCAGTCACACTGAGCTGTGCACCTTGAAGATCTGCAGTGAAAGTACAGAAAAACCTCCCTGAATAAATCTTCTGGAGCAGTCAGCAGGACATGCAGCCTGTGACTGTCTCCCAGATGGAGAAGCAACTAATTTTGTCCAATAACCCCATGTGATCAGTCAGTTGGCTGCAGTGTAAGGAGTTATGTCAGGTGCACAATTACAAACTATTACTGCAGAAGTAATTAGATTAGACATTGCCTTTATAATATCTGCAGCCACCTTCTTGCTAATTACTCCAAATAACCAGCCACTGCTCACTGGAGGGACTAGGGCCAGGCATTGCTCTCTGCTCTTTAATAACTTTAATTCCAAAATCATGGATTCTTTTCCTATGATTTGCACTCTGCAGGAACTTGCTGTGAATATTTCTTCAGCTGGATTCAGAAGACACTGACCCTGACAGGCAACATAATAAACTAATAGCTGGAGAAACCAGCAGGGTACAGAAAGGCTGGACTTAAACCAAAGATTATTTCTGATTTATGCAAGTGTAACAGAGAACAATGAGGTCCTCTGGCCTTTCTAAAGGGTGTGGTGCTGTTGTGGGGATGGATCAGGGACAAAGCAACGAAGGCATGGTAAAGTCATGCTTCTGCTGGTTTTATTCCACTCTGCACTTAATCATTATATAAAACAGTAAGAATGATTCAGAGGAGAGCAGGAGAGGTTGAATTTCTTGGGGGAGAAAGTGATTATGACCAAAAACGCACTTAGGAAAAAAAAATAGTGTATTTCTGTAATGCAGCATTGCATCAACATCAGGAACAAACAGCAAGAAAAATAAATTAGAAAGAGGAGAAGCAGGAGGAAGAAAAAGAAGCCTGATTACCTGATTATTGAAGGAGATGCAGATTTCCATCAGCGTTCTGGATAAGGTGGAAGTTGAGTGATCCTTTGCTTTAATTCAGTATGTGAGAGTCTCAGAAACTGTGGCAAATACCACCACGGAAGCACCAGTTGGATGCACTTACCCATTTGGAGGATGAGAGTTTCTGCCTCTCCTGAAGGGTTTGTCTTCTGTAAAACTCAAAGAAATCAGCATCATTAAAGCAATTTTGGAGGTGATGCAGTGCAAGGTCTTAACTGGGGCTCCCCAGCAAGTCAGTGGTAGATCCTGGAGCAGAATCCGGGTGTCTCAGTCCAGGGTTGGCTTGGGGAGGACTCTGTGGAACAGTTACAGCTTGATGGCAGTTTGGGCTTTCCAGCACACTGTTGGCTGACAGCTTTTCCATGATAGCAGAAACTAAAGATGGAGGTGAACCTAAACCTGACTTACAGTGGAGCATATTTGCTGTCACAGCTCAGTTCAAGATCATTAGTTTTTCTTCAAAGCATTCTCTTACTCCACTGATACTGAACAAATCTCACTCTCCCTTCCATCGCAGATTTCAGCCCCTTGCTTTGCCTCCTTCTTTCCCTCTCTCTCTCATTTCATATTTGCTTTTGTGTCAGTCTCTGTATTTAAAAACAACCTCTCACTTTCAAGGCAACAAAATCGTCAAAATAAATTTCTCTTTTGTAGCGTCTCACATTGGCTTCCTACATGAACAATGTTTCAGTGGGTTTAATCCATATATTTACTGTGGAGATTTTAGAGATTAGTTGTGAAGCTTGTTTGTTGTGAATACTGTGTTCATTTGCTGAGTTCACTGGAATTATTTACAGAACAAAGTGCTATTTTGCATAAGTTGGGCAAGACGATCTAGTCCTGACTTAAGGAGTGTGTATGAGGACCTACAGATTTCCCTGCTGAATAAGGGAAGAGAAGAGCCCTAATGGATCAGGTCAGCCTGGAACAAAAATGGCAAAAATATCCAAAGCATCTGAGTAACTTGAAGCCAGTTATGAATTCTTTTTTGTACTTCATTCAGCTATTTAGGGACGGATTCAAAAGGGATATTTTCAGAGGCACACATGGTAGAATCTCACTGACAATCAACAGAACAAATTCTAAAGTCCTTCCTGAAAATGGAGTCAGAGTTTCTTCCTTATGAAGCACCTTTAAATTTTTTCCCAATCCAACATAGGAAGCCTGAGCTTTCCCTCTGTTTCTAAATCATTTTTATATGTTTGGGGCCTATTAAACTAATAAACATTTCTGTGTTTAAGTGTTTAAACTTTCATTAGCTTAGATCTGAAATGTAATGCAGTCATTATTAACAATTCAGTAGAATTTGATGTAGTATATTTTATTTCATGCTGTGACTAAGAGCACTGAATTTTTTCAATATTTTATCCAAGACAAATAATATTTTAAGAAAAACCTCCACTCCCCTCTATTCCTTTTTACTTTGTTCATGAGATTTTTCTGATTGTAAACTCCAGCTTTCCCACTACTGTTAAACCTAGACCATCCCACAGAAGGCCAGATGCAGAAAATCACTCGTGCAGAAGTGAGGAATTAACTCTTTCATTACAAAAAAGGTAATTATCTGAGTGTGAAAAGCCAAATCTTCATTACTGATCAACCCTTAAAGGGGAGGAAATCCGTGGTCATTTAAGAGTTAAACTTTTGCTACAAATATGTACATACGAAAAATCGTCTCATGGTATTAGAGGAAGGAAGGAGCTGGGATGGTCTGGCACAGCACTGTTCTTACTGTATCAAATCAGAATAGCAATAAATTGCTGCTTTTTCTGGGAATTCATAGCAGGCCTTTCTCGACTTTAGAAGTGTCTTGAGCTCATTGGAAAATATTTTGAGAAGAAATGGCTCGATTCAGTCTCAGCAAGGGCTCTTTAATCCGTGGGTGTTGTTGAGTTTGTAGCTCTGGCCATGAACATCCCTTTTTTGGGTTTTTACATCGTGTAAGCGACCCAGTAGATGACATTGACTGCTGCAAAGGCTGCTGGGAACACGGCTCGGGCGTAAATGTCGATGGTGTCGGCGTCGATGGGCTTGAACAGGGACTTCAGGCCAGTCTTTTTATCCAGTTTCAGCCCTGGCTGCTGCTTGGTCTCTCCAGTTTCTATTTCTATTGTGCCATAGGAGCCGGGCAGGCTCCTGGGAATTCGGTGCTGCCTGTTGGAAATGGCCAGTTCCTGGTTCACACCAGCTATGGAAAGGGAAAACAGAACAATGGCATTCTTCACGTTGATCTGCAAGGGAAAGAGGAGAATAATGGAGTTTCTGCCTCTCCTGAAGGTTTTTTTTTTCTGTAAAATTCGGAGACATAGGTAAGAAATCAGCATCATCACAGGAATTTCACAGAGCATGCAGTGAAAGGCCTCAGGAACTGGGATTCCCTGAGGAATACAGGGGGCAGTGCCAGGCCATGCTGCAGGGGCACTGCTGTGCCAAAGTCACTCCCATACACACTCACTGACCTCTGCACTCTGCCTCCTCGCCTTGATCTTGTTCTTCTGCTTTTTCATGTAGTCGGCGTTGAAGTGAGCGAAGGCGTATTCCACCAGCGCGGCGAACACGAACACGTAGCAGATCCAGAAATAAACGTCCAGGGCCTTGATGGCAGAGGCTCGAGGGAGGGAGGAGCGGGCACTGACCATCAGCGTGGTCATGGTGAGGACAGTGGTTATTCCTGCAGGGAGCAGGAGAGGAAATGGATTTACTGATGTATTATACATGGAGACTTTTACTAATCTGAAGCGGAGGATATTTTCACAGTACAAATGCTGTGGCTCCTGATTTTCAGAGCAGAGAAGCTTGTAAAAAAACTGCATTTGTATAAGGCAGCTTTGAACAAAATATCCTTGGTTTTGTTCTAGATCAGGACAAACCAAACCCAAAGACTTAACCCTCAAACGCTTTTGCATCTGGACTGGCAACCCTTACTCAGACAAACAGATCCACAAGCACCGGGAATATTTTTTTGCCACTGTCCCAGTTCCTTCAAATGAATTCTTTCGTAGATCTGCCTCACAGTCATTACTGCTTTTAACCCTCTTTAGGGGGTTATTTGCTGTTCTTTCCTGAGGCAGCTGCTCTGATAACATGACAGAAATTAAAACAGGAGGGAAGCCTTCTAAAGGACCATCTCTTCTGCAAAAGTAAACAGAGTGGTCACAAATGCACCTTCATGTAAAATAAGGATTATCAGAGAGCAGAATTCCAACCTGAGCATTGCCTTCCCTTCCAGTCCCCCGAGGCCCCTGCTTTACCTAAGGACACCCTGGCAGGCACAGCTGACTGGCTGATCCAGAAGGACACCCACGACATGGCCACCAGGAGGATGGAGGGGACGTAGGACTGGATGATGTAAACTCCTCGATTCCGCCGCAGGTGGAAGTGGAGACTGAGCCTGGGAAACTGCCCTGCTGGAAAAAAGAGCAGGCAGAGAAGGCTCTGGCTGCGTGAATTACAGTCAAACTGATACTCAAAATGACATTTCTACAATGAAACAGAGCTGTGACAGCTTTTGGACAGGGATCACAGATCGCTTTCCTGAATGGTGTTCGATCAGTCCCCATAAACCCTGCACGAGGTGCTGCAGCTTCATCAGCTAAGAATAGGTCAAATGATCTGTCTCAGGTCATATCAATGCCAGATCTGAAAATAAAATCATGAGTCTTCTCAAATAACAGTATTGCTTCAAAATGTGTACTGTCTTATCATCTGCTGTAGAAAGTCCTCCAGATACTAAATTTAGATTTTTTAAAAGGCCAAGTTAATTTCAAACTCAAAAAAGAGCTTAGAGGAGATGTGCAGCATAAATGAGAATCTGAATACATGAAAGAGGATGAAAAATCAGCAGGAAAGAAATGACTCCAATCTTGTACAAACATTGCAATAAGACCAGTGATAGACATACACACCACTGACTTCTACTGGGTAGAATTAGACTGATCTGACTGTACGTCATAAGCTTCATAACATCAGGGCTAATGGAAATTTTTCTTGTTCTGAAGTCGCAAATTAGGTCAAGAAAATATGAGCTATACCTCAAGTGTTCTTTATCAAGTGCCGTCTGGCTACTCCACACAGTGTTTTGTCAGGCAGAGAGAGCTGAAGGACATAACATGCTACAGTAGCTACCTGGAGGCTCAGCAAAGGATGGCACTTTTCATGAGTGTAAGCTGAAGAAAACTCTTATCAGACACCTGACAGGTTCTTAAATTAGTTACCTAAGAAGAAGGATTTTCTGTTATAGATACAGGAGGTTTCCCTGTGCTGGAAAAAGTCAGATACTGTCCCTGAGCTGAGGAGAGATTCTGTTACCAGATTTGAAGTTCATAATTTCTGTTGTGAACTGGTAGTTGGTGATGGTGAACTGGGCGAGCTGCAGCTTGTCCAGCCCGTGGATCTCCTCCTGGTTCTCTGACCAGTGGTACACGATGTCCTCCGAGGAGTAGCCATCTGCCAAAAGAAAGCTGAATAAACAACAAGTTCGAGGCAGAAATTAAGAGCTTAGAGGACTCACAGCGGAAGTTCTCTAACTCCTGCTATGCTGAATTCCATCAGACCCATTGCTGGGATTCAACCTGGATTATTCTGCCTGGGAGAGTTGCAGGACACCAGGGACATGACAGAGGGGGGATGTGTGTGAGGGGATTTTTGTGAGATGCAATCAATCTTTGCTAGTTTTGCTGTTAGTGGACAACTTGCTCCTAGAGCATTCATTTGTTTAAAGAGGCTGTTTGGTTCACTGAAATCAAACCCCTCCAGTTTAATTCAAACATTCAACCCCCCCAAAAAACTCCCTGCAGAACTTGCTGGGAGAGAGAATGGATTGCTGGGGCACTGCCTGCTGCCTCTGCACTTGGTGATTACATAAGTAAAACTGTAGATTGCTATTTTTGACAGGACAAAGTGGTATTGTGGCTAATTGCCTAGAAAACAAAGTTGGTGCTAAAAAAGAGAAACTGGCATTAACAGGCCAGGGGATCTGTTCAAAAACTGCTGCTCCCAAATCTCTGGAGCCCTCAGGACCTGTAGACTCCTTGTTCTAAAAACCAGATTCATTGCCACCAACTGGGTGGCCCCTGCTTCTGTCTGTGGTGGTTTTCATTCAGAAGTATTCATGCTCGTGGGATTTACATGCTGATCGTAGATAAACTACAGGTTGGACAAAACATAAACTCATTCTTCACCCTCCTCTGTGAGTACAAAGGAATTAAGGCAATCCATGCAGTATTCTGATAGATTTCTGGGTCACGGATACAGGAATGCCAAGGCAAGCTCAACATCTCTGTAAAGGTAAGTCACCATGGCTTTCATTAAAAGCAGGGAATTCTTTCTTTTTCCTTCTTCTTATAAAGAAAACATAGCACATCAAATTTTGCCTGTGGGCTTCTCTGCTTGTTCTCCCTGGATTTGATGCAAAGCTCAGTAATGCCAGTGACTGTCACAACTGCACAAGGTTTCACATCAAGCTCAGAGTTCCAGACATTTGTAACAGGACTGTTCATTGCTCATCATCACTACATTAAATCCTAGAGTTTAGGATTGGGGCATTGAAAAGTCCATTGTGTAATGCCCAGCACAGGGAATGAAGGGATTCCTGTTTGTTCTGAATCTCAAGGCAGCCCAAAGCAGAACCATCCCAGCTCACTCCAGTGTCCCAGTCCCACATGCCCAGGTTTTACAGCAAACACAGGTGTACTCAGCCCTTACAGCTCTCCAAATCCAGCATGCATTCCTGCTCGTCCATGGGGTACTTGGACAGGTCCATGTCGCAGGCCACTGTTGAGGTAATCCTGTTCCAGGCAACGGGAACACCAGTTAGTTGCATTCAGACAGAGCTTTTTCCTCTGAACTCAAAACACTGAATGGAAAACTTTGAAACCTTCATAGCAATGAAGGGAATCCTTTTCAAAGCCCTTATGGCCCTTGCCTTTACTGAGTCTGTGGGAAACCCAAGGGCAGGGAACTGAAGAAAAGTCAAATTACTTTAATGTCAGAGGACACTTCAACTACTTCTCACAATGAAAAGGAATTCTCTGATTCCATCTACCGCCTTTCACTGTCCCCAAGATTTCTACTAATACCTTGATGGGAGTTTTGGGCTTACGATTTCAAGGGTGCACATTCATTTTGTAGAACATTACACAATGAACTTCCAGTACAGTTACTGAGTTCCAGCCACAGCACTCTTCCAAGGTGAGGAAATGACACTTTCTCTGTTTGAGAGATGGGGAAGTTGAGCCTAAATCAGGCTCATAGTTCCCTTGGAAAACAGTGAAATAGAAAAGAGAATAGGAAAATAGAGAGTGGAGAACAGAATCTTTGCCAAACAGCTCCGGGACACTTGGAGGACATTCTGAACATGGTCAGTGACTCTGCACTGCACAGTGTTGCCAAAGAGACCTTCCTGGCACTGTCATCCTTGGAAAGCAAAGGGGTCTCTGACAGGAGATTTTCTTCCATATTAAATTAACAACTATTTTATGAAACCATCCTAGGAAAACAGTGGTTACTTCACAGTCTGTTCCAGAAGTCAGCGCACAATAGAGAACACTTGCTCTCTTTCTCACTCACCTGATGCTGTATAAAATGACTCCATCTGGCTGGAGCCTGATAAGTTTGTTTTCCACAGTCACATCATGGAACCAGGCAGACTTGGCATTGACTATGAAAGTATCTGGCAACCAGAGCTTGTCCACAAACCTGCTGTCTAAGCCCAGAGTCTCGTTGGTGTGGTTGTAAGACAGACGGTCGTCTCGCCAGCTCTGGTGCAAAAACACTGTCATGGTGTATTCCTGTGACAGGAGAAAGCCCAAGTAAGAAGTGATGCTGAACAAACACAATGGTAATGCCTTGGGACTTGGCCAAAAATCATTGTATTAGCCTGGAAATACATGATCTGCTTCCAGTGCAAATAAGTATTTTTATACTCAGTCAACCAGAGAGCCGCCCAAGCATTTGAATTTCTGCTATGCTTCTACAAGAGATAAATTATCAAATTATCAAAAAGTGGTTCAACATCAGTGTAACATGTAACATATTTGCAAGTCTCAAAAAAGAACAGTACAACTTTTGGTTTTGAACGTTTTTTAGAGCAAAACTGAAGACTCTGATACCGTACCATGTTCACCTCTGAGATGTGGTCAATGCTGGCTACTTCGATGGCCAGAGCAACGTTAACGGGGGGACCTGGGGAAAAGGGTTGAATGGGGTCATTGACATCATCATAGGACCTACAAAAATATAAATGACCCAAGATTTCAATTCTTTCAGAGAGTTCACAAAAGTGTTTTCCATTATAAAGTACACTCTCCAAGCAAAACCTACCCTAAAGCAAGAGATTTAAATCTTTTACTGATTTCTACCTCAATTTCCAATCTCACTTCAGTGATAAAGGGCACGAGATACAATCACAGCTACTGAAAATTATGGAATCCTTTCTGGAAATCACACTACCAAGTTTAAGACAGCATGACTTCAAGCAGTGCCGGAATCATCACCATTTAATGCAATACAAAATTCCTTCAACTTAAATGTCAGTGATTTAAGAACTGTATCAGAAGCCTGTGTTGCTGTTGTACAGTCTGTCTCCTGTCAAAACCATCCAAATTGTTGATGGTTATTTTTTCCCAGTATCCAAGTAGAAGATAATCGTAACCTTTTAATCATGTAAAGGATGAGCATCAGAGGGTAGAGGGATTGTAAGAACAGAAGAGACATTATTGTCCAAGCCTCACCTCCAATGCCAGGCCTGAAATTCCGTGCGTAGCCTTTCATTAAATCATCCAGGTTGGGCAGCCAGGAGATTTCGATGTTGGAACCAATGTAGTCTCCGATGTCACTCATAGCTCTGGGGAGAGGAAAGAAGTGTCCTTTGAGACTTGCCCACGTTTACAAACAGAAAACCAACAGAAAATGGAAGAGTGACTTCTCTCACACCAGAGACCACATATGGTATAATCAGCTATGCTGGAAACTTACTGAGAAAATACTGTATATGGGCAGGAAAACAATTTTGGATATTTCTGTTTAAATCAAAACATACTCAGGCAAGACTATGGCCTCTTTCTGAATTACAAGTACATACTTTTGGAAGTTTTCTCCTTTTTTAAAAGAAGTAGGAAAAATAGATTCAGAAACTTAGAGAAATCGTGAGGGAAACCAAGACACTTTGTGTGCTGCCTAAAATGCATCTGTGGCTGCTGGAATGCAGCTGTGCCAGCTCCCAGTGAACCGTGGAACAGCTGAGCTCAGGGAGGCTGGGGGACTGTCAAATGGGAGGGGAACACAGCAGGAACTGCACATCTGGAACGAGGGGAACAGGCAGCAGGCTTCGTCTGCGAGGGGCTGTGTTGTTGTGGGGTTTGTGCTCGTGCCTCAGCCCCCTCCCGGCACCACCATCTCCCAACTGCCAGACAGGTGCTTCTTGCTGGCCCAGTGCTGCTCCTGCAAGACTTTAGCCCAGGTTCTTGTTGCCATTCTCCACCTCCTGGCAGCCCCTCAGCCCTGGTCCAAGCAGTTGTGTGGATATTCCACCACCTCTTACAAACAGAGGCAAGATTATCTTGTCTCCATTATCTGTTTAAAGTGAGCTGGCAGACTTCATCTGCAGCTCTGTGCCTGCTCACATCACTCCTCTCGCCAGCACCGTGACTGACAGCACAGGGGGAGAGAAATGAGGGGCTGGGACAACATCTGTCACCACTGTTTGCAAAGAGAAGAACTGCCAGTGGTTTGAGAGGGCCTGAATGGAAGTACTGCATCCGAGCTGCCTGAGCACTGGCTCAGCACCTTCCACCGAGCCCAGCAACAAATGTGGCGTTTGAGGGATACATCTGAGTCCTAACAGGAGAGGAACTGGCTGAACACCCCTGGGGGGCTGCAGGGGGAGACACCACAAACACACCCTGCCCTGGCACTCACAGAACTTTGGCTGTTCATGTGACAATGACCCACATAAAGCACATGGGTTTTCTCCCCAAAATATGCCAGCCTGGGCACTCAGCTCAGCATGAGCAGGTATTGCCAGCACGGGAGCAGAGTCTCCTGCAGTGCCCAACTCCTCCTCCCACAGGGGACTGAGAGAAAAATCTTCGATCGCCCTGGTCAGAAAATTCTTGTCTGGTGTACAGAGTCGATTATATAAGGAAGGAGTTCTGGGATTACAATGTACAAATGTGAGTTCTGAGCAGCAGAGACACTGAAAGCTTGCGTTAGTGGAGCTGTCAAAACTGTTGTGACCTTACAGCACAGGGACACTGCTCCAAGGGAAACTTCATTACTTCCCAGAAAAATGTTATATTAAATTGCGTTCATAATATTTCCTTGCCATGAGCACAGTGCTGTATGTTCATCTCAAATGACTATCCCAGGCACTTCTCAGGTTCCTCTAGCTCTTCTGAGGAAGGATCAGAGCCACGTTTTCAGCTGCATAAATTGGAATAACATAACTGATTTAGACAAGGGCTTTGAAGATTTATAACAAATGTTGACAGAAGTTCCTTCCTTCTTTATTGGGTCTCATCAACTATATCAACACTTCTTTCTATCAGACTGCTCTTTTCCATGTGCTGGTCTTTCAGTCATCCAACTGTAAGTATTTACTTAAATGAAATTATAGTTTCTTAATCCATGGCAAATTTGTTTATAAATGTGCTTAATTGTAACTTGTAAGTCTCAGCCATAGGTATGGAATGGTGTTCCTAACCAGCAAAACCTCTGAGCTCCTTTCCCAGGTAAAGAATGGTGCTTTCTGTCTTTTCCTAATGAGAGCAAATAACTCCAATGCGCTTGAATTAATACATCAGCCTCAGATCTCTTTACCTTTTCAACAGAAGATGGTGCTTTGCAACTCCTGTTGCTAAAACTGCCGCCAGTTCTGGGAAGTGTTTTGCAAACAGAGCTCGAGTCAGAAGGTGAGTGCCCCGGAGTGATCTCCCCCGTGTGCCTGCTCATCTGTTTTGACAAAGCACTTGGTGTGCAGCAGCTCCCCTGTCAGGGCTCCATTTTAGTGGCATTAAGGAGCTAAAAGGGAGTTAAAATGCTGAGAGCCGGGTTAGAAACCGTGGGCTGTAGCCTGCCATGTGTTTTAAGCAGATTACAATCTAGAGGGAGTTTTACTTAAATATCCATGACACAATTAAAATAAATCTTGTTTCTATTATTAATGAAGCCTTAGGGTCAGATCATCAGTGTAACAAATGTGCTGAAGTTAGTGGAGCTATGTGCACTTAATACCAGGGGGGCTATTAAAGTATTGCAGCTGAAATAACTTTATGGTCACATTTACCACGTTGTGATAACTCCTTCCCGCCATTCCTCTGGATTCCTGGACACCACACCCAGGGCTTTAAAGTTACAGGGGGGACGGTGGGAGAGTTTCATTCATCCTTGATAAGCAGCCAGGATTATATATGGCCTAAAATATGATTCACTATTGTACCTGAAAAAGGAAGGCCAGCACAGAAAAGATGCATTGGAAGGGATTAAGTTTTCATAGAGCAAGCAGGAGAGATGAAAAGAAAGGAAACTCCCCTTAGTTGATTCAGCAAATTCCCTTCCCCACGTAAGCTGCTGTAAAGCTTGTTTTAGTGAGAAAAGGACTTTGTGAAATTAAGGTAGTGATTTGCCAAATCCAAAGGGTAAAAGAGCTCCTCAAAAGCTTATCTGCAGTTTGCACCGGGCCAGCGTGGGGAGCTCTGGCTGAATGGCAACAGTCATGTGGACTCCTGTCACTCTGGAAGTCATTCCCAAAGCTAAAGCTGAAGGAGATGGGTTTTCTCCCACACTCTGGCTGTGTACACATCTCATTCCAAGCAGATATTTTGGAGAATTTATTTGTGTCTGCTCATATCTGGAATTTAAGCACTGGGAGAACTTCGACCGAGCTCGTTGTCAGCAACAGAAAATAGATTATTGCTGTTTAAATGATGAAAGTAACAGTGAGTTCTCTTGTCCATTAGATAAAGGGGAAAGGAAATCCCATAGATAAACTGGGAAAACCTATGGAGTTCTCCTTTCCCTAACAAAGCTGCTCTTGACACCGTTTAGGGAAAGCAACTCTAAGCAATGAATGTCAAATGACAGAGCAAAGAAATGTATCTCCTTCAGAGCTAAGTGCAATCAGTTCTAGAATAAGAAGTCCACATATCCCAAAATCCTCTGTATCTGAGCTGACATCTTCCCCCAGCTGCTGCAGCACCATTGCATCCCACTAATGTGGATGGTTCTGGAGGAGAAGCCTCAATGCACTTGGGCAGCACATCTTGAAGGGGCTTGTCAGACAAGTGAGGCACCGGCCTGTCTCTGCTCCCTGCCAGAGCACTGCTTGAAAATGGGTGCTGGAAGTGTATCACTGTCACCAGGAAATATCTGAGCCCCAAATCACCCCAAGCAAGAGGCAATCTGTGGGTTCCATGAGGGCACTTCAGCAGCTGAACCAGGCATGACACTGGCAGTATTATTTTTGCACAGCAGTGCCAAAATCTCTGGGAGCAGTGCAGAAAGCTCAGCAGCACCTTTAAGTCAGCGGCCAATGAGGCACAAATTTGGGGTCACACTTGCAGGGAGGGTGCTCTGACCTTCTGACAAACACACAGAGCAGAGGGATGTGGGAAATCACTCTTTGCATCTTCTGTTTCTCCTTTGAATCTGCTAACCTGATTCTTTTGGGGACTGTGACATAGTTGTTATAGGAATCATTTATCCTAGTAGATGGAAAAAGCAGTTTGACTGAAGGACTGGGGTGGAGAACATTTCATTTTCTATGAGGTAAACATTTGGGGGCAAATGTCCCAGGTGTCATTGCCACTGAAGAAAACTTTTTCTTGGGAAAAAGACAAGGAATATCCTGCAAGGTCAGAGAACAATCTGGCCTCTGTCAAACTCCAGGATTATCCAGAGCAGTATGTGTATCCTTCCCATCTGCCATTCCTGACTTTAAGTGAAGCTCACTGTAAATATGTTTTGTATTTTGAAATGTAATTGAAAAGGCATTAGGCTTAATTCGTGGCAACCTCTAGAACATCAAAGCCTCTCTGTGAGTTTTAAGCTACAGAAAATGGACCATTCTTTGCATATATTCACGTGTTAAAGCTGCTCTGCTTCCACAAATAGAAGTAAAAGGCTTAGGGAGACACACAGCAGAAGGACAATTAACTCAAATGTATAGAAATGTCACTTAACATAGACGAGTCTGAAATATAAAAGATACACCTATTTTTAATAGAGAATTAAAATCTATTTCAGTAAAGAATTACAAAGTATGGACATGGACCCCCAAACTCCCATCAACGGTGCTCCTTCCCCAGGCAAACGAAGAAATAATTCCCCAAGTGTCTCTCTGCAGATGATCTCGTGCCCTGTGGCACATTTCTTCTTGCAGCATCCACAGCATATCAAGCCCTGATAAAATAATGGAAGCCACAGTCTTTGCCTCAAAGACCTGTCAATCATATAAATTGCAAATTTCTTGCCACTAATCACTGTCTCGAGAAGACAAAAAATTACTACTTTTTTTACCTGAAAAAAATGTGCTGACTTAGATTGAATTTGGCTCCTTCCCTTCAGTCAGACAGCACACATGACAGAGGAATTGCTTCAAACACAGCTAAAGCGCCCTGGAAGGATATTCCCAACTGCTGTGAGAGAACAGCATTTCCCTGTGTGTGTCCCCCCTTTCCCTCCTCTGCCCAACCAGGACAGTAATTTCAGTGGTAGCTTTGCCTTTGGGAAGTCCTGTGTCCTGCCACTGCATTCCAAAATCACCAAACTGTTCTTCCTTTTTGGAATGTTTTTCTTACACCTGGCGATTCCCAGTGCACAGAACTCACAAGCAGAGAATTCAGGGGGTTTGGATGGTTTCTGTCATCATAACTGCAAGTCACATTGCATTTAGAAAACAAAATCAGAGCCTTAAAATGGCAGTTTTGCCCATAATTACACTGCTTTTCATAAAAGCATCTCCTACCAAAAATATTTTTACTGATGCAAGGATAAAATTTTGCTCTAGTTCCATTTAACGGATCCCAATTACACGTGTAAGCAAGGCTACTCCCCTTTCACAGGATCAAACGATGTCCTGCCACAGCCACACTAAATCCTGAATCTGCAGAAAACTGTTGTGCCAAACAGAGCAGCTTCCCTTGACCACGGAATGTCTCACACTCTGGCACGTTTGGAAAACTACAGACTGAGCAGTTGGAATTTCAGAAGTTAGAATTTGCCTTGCCTGCCTCTCTGCCACGAGGAGATGTATTTTTAACAAACAACTCATCGCTATTGTGTAACGGGAGGAAGAAAGTCAAGTAACCAGGGAATTAATCCAAATATAAAATAATGTATCCAACAAATTATAGGTTGCCCATATCCTGGCAGTGGCTGTGCCCGGGACCAGACCTCAAAAGACAGAGGCTGAGAAGACTCTTCTTTAAAATTCTATTTTTTTCTTCTCAAACATCACTTTTCAACCCAAAGCCTCAATGCTGGCCCAAGTGCAGAGGGAGAAACAGGATCATTGAAATCATGGGCAAGGTCTTGGTGCCCTTCGGTCATAAGCAGCATTTTTTCTGCCTTCACTGTAATACTGGATTGCTTTGGAGCACGAGGATGTCAGGATCTGACCCCAGATAACAGACTCAAGGTCACAGGATAAATCATCATGTCAGTCCTGGTTAAGAGCAGTTGACTTGATGCTTCCTCTAAGCAAGATCCTCTTCCTTCCCAGTGAAAAAATCAGATCTCACTGATTAATTCCAAAAAGTGTAACAGCAATGTTCTGTCTCACTCCAGTTACCACCTTGCCTCTTCCAGTCCTCTGAAGGTACGAACGATGTCTGGGAAGCAGAAGCTGTAGGACCCCTTTAATGCCACAGCCCCCTCTGCTCTGGGGGGTGTGGGCATGTTTTTACATGCAGCAAGTTCTTTTTTACACCCCCTTCTATTTTCATTGCGTAATCATGGCAAGCTTTCTCCACATCCAGCCTCCAGATCTGGAGAGAATCTCTGGAGCCCGTGGCTGGTTGCCTAGCTAACACCTTCGGAGGAAATGGGGCTGAGCTGCACACATACATCCTTCTGACATACATCCTTCTTTACAATTCAGCATTTTAAGAAATGGTTGGCGTTCTCCAAACGTTTTTTTTCCCCTAAGATCTCTGACAGCCTCTTCCTGTCATCCTGAGTTCAGGAGACTTAGTGAACCCACCAGAAAGGCATGGCTGTATTTTCGGGTTTTAACGGTGCCTATGGAGGCCCCAAGCAAAGCTATTCAGCTCGTACCCCGCTGGTTGTGCTGGCTTTATGGAAGAGGTTCGAGTTCAAACAGGCCCCTACGGAGCTGCTGGAGGGGCTGAGGCTGTGCCGGGATGTGCAGTGCCTCACAAAAAGTGATTGCCCCCAATTTAGAGTGAATACCCTCGGGAAAAGCATTCCAGGGGCATCCTGTTAAACACACAGCCCTTGATTAACCGAAGAAACTGCTGCTCACTCAGTTGGCAGAAGTGCACCCTCAGCAAGGAAATGAAGAAAGAAAAAAAAACCCAAACAGAGGAGGCACATTAAAGAAACTCTTGAATCGAGAGCCCTTTTCTCCTGCACGCTCTCTCCAAGCAGTCCTGGCCCGGGAGTGCACAAAGCATCCCTGGGCAAGAGTGGGAGCCCCAGCCAGCCCTGGCACCACTCACCCCGACCGAGGGAACGGCTGCCCGAGGCCAGGCTGAGAAAGAACGATAAGATGTTTTCTTACCTGATACACCTGTGCTGTTGGGTGCACAGTAGAACCAAGGCAGGAAAAACCCAAGTAAGAAATTCCATTTTACTCCCATTTATTAGACAGCGGCGACCAAAACCCAGGTTCCCCGGCTCTCCTGGCAGCTCCAAAGCTCCAGTGGCGTTGCCATCCTTGCCTGCTGCGCTAAGTTGAGGCTGAGTTTAAAGCGATGGATGGTTGCTCAGCAGCAGCAGCCCCCACAATCTCCACAGTGCCCGGGAGCCATGCGGGCAGCCCGGCACGGGAGCAGGGAGCAGGGAGCAGGGCAGCTCCGCTCCGCTCTCCTCCTCTGCTCTGCGGGTGGCTCAGTCCCGCCCGGCTCCGCTGCCCTGCTCCCGCATCCCTCCCCTGCCGCGGGCTCTTCCTCCGGCCGCCCTGCCCGCCCGCGAGCCTGCCTGCCGAAAATAACCTCCGAAAGGATGGATTAATCCCACGGAGCGGGGTGGGAGCAACTCAAAGTGCTCCGGAGCCGCTCGTGTCCTGCGCGCATCGTGCCGGGGAGGAGCAGGAGGAGCTCCGAGGGCAGGGGCGGCCGGGCCGGGCGCGCTCGGGGACGCGGAGCCACCACATGTGAACGGCGGGCACGGCCGCCCCCCGCCGCCCCCCCGGCACATCCCGGCGGCACCCGGGCACCGCAGCTGCAGCCCGGCTTCCAGCATCCCTCCGGGAAACCGGGAATGGAGCCGGGGGCTGTGCTCAGGGAAACCGCCGCCTCCCCGCCGCTTACGCGCTGTCCCGGGCCCGCGGGACCACCGGGAGGGGCACGCCCGGGGCCACCAACTTCTGCCTCGCCGCCCGTGGGCTCCTCGGGGGCTTCTCTACACTGAGACACTGCCCTGGCGCGGCTCCATCCCGGGCTGGCACCGTCCGCCTTCCACCGCCTGTGCCTCGCGAACTCCCGGCCCCTGCGCTGCTCCGGGGGCTCCTCGGGACCCGGGTTCGGCTGCACTTGCAGGTCAAACTCCGTTTTCTCCTCCATATTCGCTCTTTCCTTCTCTCCTCCTCCGCCTCCTCGGCTTCTTGGTGCTGTTCAATCTCGAATGACAATTTTAAAACCAACCCACAGAAGGAAACCGTGCGAAGGAGACATTTTCGAGAAATTATATTCATAAAGCCAAAAAAAAAAAAAAGAATGTGCAGGTACCTTAAGCAAATGAAAGGAGGCACCGGGAGTAAAGTGTGGGGTTTATCTTTTCGTCTGCTTAGTTCTGTATTATTATTTTGTACCAATATTTCAAGTGGCAACCAAGGGGTGGGGGTGAGGGGAAATAACAGCCCTGTGGGACCCAGGAGAACAAATGTACACAATGCACACACAAAAATGCAATACAACAAATATCAGGTCATGTCATAAACGTGTAAGAAGGATGGGGGGGCTATTTTCGTCCTGGTCTTTTCCTCCTTCTGCCCATTTCCATAGCCACCCCTGCAGCAAGGGAGGAAAAGACACAAATTTAAACTCGAGGAGTTGGATTGTTGCATGAAAATTGCTTTTTTTCTTTTGAGGAGGAAAAGGAAAGGTTTTTAATGGAATTTGCCCGATAACACACAGAACAGAATCATGTTGCCTCTCTGTATAACAGAACACATTTACAACTTTTGGGATCCTTTCAGGTGAGATTTTTTTTCACATTTTCCCCACCTTTAAGGCTGGTGTTCCAATAGGCTGCGTACGCCGAGAATTCCTTGGTGGTGTTTTCCTCTGGCCACACAGCTGTCATCTAATTTACCAGTATAAAAGAACAGTTTCCTGTGTCTTCAGCATACATCTGTAAAACCAGTAAGGAAATCCCCTTTGTTCAGTGTGTCTGTGTGTGTTACATGTGTAGAACACACGTGTGTGTGTGTGTGTCGGTGTGAGCACATCATGGCAACAACATGTGCTCTGAAGGGACAGACCCTGCCACAGACGTGACCATGAACACAAGTAAAAATACAATGGCAACCCTAAAATACACGTGGAACTTCTCTCAGATAGATTAATTACATTTGATCTATACTGACCTTAATTATACCCCCACATTATGCAGAGGAAGGACATTCAGCCTTGGGTTTAGTTAGTTTTGTGTACAAATACATATTTAAACAAAATAGGCTGGTACATATATATATATACACATATATATGTGCACACCCACTCAAACAACTCCCGTTGCCAAAGGGAAGAGAGGGGATAAAATAATAATAATGATCGACAATATATTTAATTTCCTACAATTTCAGCAGAGTATCCCAAGCTCTTTACAGTGAATGACAGATTAAAATTGCTAAGACATAGATTAAGAAACAATTAAAATTGCTATTAAAACATCAAAACAAAACAAAATAAATAAGCTCCCCAAATCTTTCTCATCTAATCCTCTTGAAAATAATTAAAGCTTTCCTTTAGCTTTAGCTCCTGGCTTGGAACTGTCAAATAGTCTTAAAAAGATGGCCCATGATACTAAATGTTTCCTGAGCCTTTTTGTCACTGTGCTAAACTCCTGTCTCTCCCCAATCTCTGTGTCTGCAGGCACCAGCTTTTATGGAAATACCCTTCCTGTGATCTGACCTTGAACGCTGGGCTCGGGCTGTCAAAAGCTGATGTTCTGCACCCACCTCTGGACAACTTTACAAGTAAATGTCATTTAAACATTATTATCCTTAGTTGTTATTATCACTTTAACAATTACTAATTTTTGAAGTATTTACCTCATTCAAGTAGTAAGCAAAGGTCACAGCTTTGAAGCATGTTTTACTATAATTGAAACCAGAAACCCAGATTTCAATATCTGTCAAGTATTTTTCTTCTGGAACATGTAACAGGTTTTTCCCTGATCGCAGTCATCTGTACTTTGTAGCTGCTACCATAAAGTAATTTATTGGAGGGCACAATTTGATGGGATTGAGGAGAAACATGCTCAGTCATTTGGGCCAAATAACAAGTTTTCACAGTCATTTATTACCTCAGGATTTTGGGACCGTATCAGAAGGACATTATTTCAATTTATTTTGCAGTGGCACTGCATTACCTGGTATTCTTAATAGATTATTTTCTAAATAGAACAGGTGGTTTTGCTGCCAGCAAAATAAAGATGTCATATTGTCACATATAATTTTGAGGCAAAAACTGTACCACAGGGCTAATTAGTTTCCCTCTCCCATGATTCCACCTAAGCAGCTCGTGAAAGACTGTTGTGGCAACATCACCAAATGTCTCCAGATATACAAATTACACACATATGCCTATTTTTATAAATGAGGTTTGGGAATATTAGCAGCAATCACACGGCAGGAATACTGAGCTCATTTCAGAGGTTGTGCTGTGCTTGCACTGTGGGAATGTCCCACAGCCCCAACACAAGTGTGTCTGTGTTTTATCAGCATCAGGAGAACCACAGTATTAATTCCCCTTTCACCTAAAGGAATCCAGTTTTTATCTGTCTCCAAACGTTCTGCAGAACATCCAGTTCCTCCCCCAGCCTGTATAATTTTATAATCGTGAAGCACAGTGCAGCCAGACACTCTGCCCTCCTTTTCTTTCCTTTGTGCAACCAATTGGGGATGAAATCCCCACTAGCCAGGGCTAGTTCCAGCTCTGGGATGGTTGCCTTACCCCAGATGAGTTGATCTCAGGGGTGCACTCCCAGCTGGTGCCATCCCAGGCCACTCCTCCATGAGATGCTCTGAGAGCAAATGCCCCTCTCATTCCTTGTCCATCCATCTGTAGGGATGAGTCACTGGGAAGATGCTTATCAATGTTTGCCATTGTTTACAGCCCAACAAATCAGTGTTTGCCATTGTTTACAGTCCAACACTGATCCATAGGGGCAGGGAAGTTGGCTTATGTAATTGATAGGATCCACAGTGCCAAAATGCAGATTCCATTATTGGCATGTCTTCCTGCCTAAAAGCCAGAAAGCTCCATATATGAGCTGCTGTCACCTTGGAAACGTTCGGGAGAGAAATGCCAACTCTGTGGGAGCAGAGTGTGCAGCCACCCAGCAAACTGCACTGCCCAGTCCTGCCCCCTTCCCAGTTCATCCTGAGGTGGCACCAAAGGAACTTCACACAAATGCCTCTAAATTTAACCTCACAGTAAGAAAACGGCAGGGTTTTAATTTATTCCTCCTCACTTTGTTACCCATTTTCTCCGAGATGGATCACTGGGGGTCAGAGCCTTAAAAATCCACAAGAGTTGCATCAACCAGAGCCTTTTTGCACATTTCCTGGAGCTTAAAGCTCTAGGTTCACTGGCTTGAATTGGATACACTTGGCTGGGGAGCCATCATTTCCTTCAGAGGAACTGAATATGTTCTCTCTTCTCCCATCTATATGGGAGATAAAAATCTATATTGCCCTTCCCTAGAGACGAGTTATTCAACTGACACAAAATCATGACCATTTGTTGTTGTTGTTGTTGTTATGAAAATTGTCCAAATAGTTGTGAACTGGGACTAAATAAATACCCTGCATAAAAATATGACAAGAAACCGATAATCAGTGATATTTCCAGGTGTTCTTCCGAGGGTTTTCTTGAGGGGAAAATCTGTGCTTGGATCTTTTGCATCCCAGCTCTGGGAGTGTGGGAACTGGCAGGTTCAGAGTTAACACAGTTATATCTATTCCAGATCTGCAGAGAGAGCTATACAGTTAATCACTGCATATTTTTAGCCTACATCTTGTAGCTTTAATCCTGCAAATGTCTGTATGTAATTTGTTTTATATAATATGAATAGATGCCATAAAATCAAGATTCCACCATTTATAGAGCTAAGAATGTCCATATATTTCTCAAGAATGAGGACCTACAGCATAAGTGTGGGACAAAAAACTGGTCACTGTGAGTAATTTATACTCTATGCTGTGGGTGCCAGTGGAAATAAATGCTCAGATTAGCAGCACGTTCTTGTATGCATGGGATCAAAAACCAGACCTTACTCTCACAGCAACTCCAACAATGACAGAAATATTGCTTACAATTAAGGAACAGTTTCAACTAAATAAATCTGAGAATGCATCTGTCTCTATGTACAGACCAGGGTGTATTTTGGTGTGGATGATGTCCCAGTGTTTTCACAACTGAATCCCTGTGAATCTTTGAATAGCTGGATTTCTCCAGCGTGTCATGGAGTGCCAAGAGCGAGGGAACAGGGATGTGCTCTGTGGATCCGCTGAGCTGGTCCTTGGCTTCATCAAGGTAGTACAAGGAATAGAACGGAAAGGAAACCCAGCAAATTAACTTGGAAACCTTCAGAGCTCTAAAACGTGTGTGCTCCAGCCCCAAATCCACAGGACTTTGCATTGTAGAAAGTCAGCTGAATTCACAAGATTTCTTTTGATCATAATGCCAGCAACTTGCTTAAAATTTACAAACGTGCTTAGAGGTGAAAGTTCAGTGGGGATGGCTCTGATTAACCCCCACTGCTGCGGGCCAATAAAAACAATCAATCCATCCAGGAGGGAAAGGCTCAGCTGCCCCAAATCCCAGTAATTCCCCGGGCCGGACCGACCCATGGACACGGACCCACGGCGCGGGCCGTACCATCCCGCGGGCACGGGGGTGTCCCGGGGAGCCGCTCCGGGCGCGGCCCCCCCGCGCGGTGGTTGGCGCCGTTGCCGTGGCAGCGCCCGGGGCTGTGGGGCCGGGCCGTGGGGCCGGGCCGTGGGGGGGTCTGGGCCCTTCCGCCCCACTGGGCATTTCGGCCCGGTTCTACCAAAACTTTGTTATCCTGCGGTTGGAGCTGCAGCCTCACCACGAGAGCGCCGGCGCCCCTGCTGCAGTTTTATGTTTGTGCCACTTCTTCGTGCCACCAACGTCTTAAATCGGCCGTAACCCAGTCTGAGAATCCTGTTTGGCTTCAAGGTAGTTCCTATAATTTAGTAAGTTTACTCCTTTACTCCAGCGCGTGTTTTCTCTGCTCCTTAACTAGAGGAAATAGATAGTCTCCTATAGTTTATGTTTTTTGAGTTCTGCAGAAGGATTTACATAAACGCACTCAAAGCTGAGCCACCTTCGTTAAAATTAATCAGTCTCTGGGTGAGTAAGATGTGAAGTGCTCAGCCATGTGGTGATAACTCATTCTAGATGACATACAGAACTTACTGAATTCTAATAAATTGTATCAACATTTGGGAACAGTTTACCTCACATGAGAGAACTGCATGAGACTCAAGAGCAAGCAGTGTTTGTTGGAGTTGTGCCCGGATCATCTGGGGTAAAGTGGTGGCCTAAGTGGATGAAATATATTCAGAAGGTTGTTTGTTTTATTACTGAGCTGATTGTTATATTAAAAAAAAAAAAGTGGCAGTGCCCTTGCTTTTCTCTAGGAGATTTATTAAAGTTGATACTCAGAGTGTGACTGGCACGAAGGTGTGTGGTTGTATCCAGTTATTTCAGATGCACTAGGTATTTACTGAGAGCTGTGACTTCACCTCTGGAGACAGTCACAGCTATTGCAGGTTGGTGGAGATTACATGTGTTAAACATATCCTTCTCTTTCTTAGCCTGGTTGTTTGGAAAGACCTGTCAGCATGGAAGATCATGAGCTCACTTACAGTGAGGGAGAGCAGCAAATATCTCCTCAACCATTTCTGGAAGAGGAAGAAAATGCAGCTGGTCAGTTCAGTGATGTGGAAGGACCCTGGGAAGGTGAAAATGATGACTTGTTTTGATAACTCAAAAAATCCTGACATTAACGTAAAGTTCATGTAAGATGAACACTTAATGTTATAAAATGTCATCTCTGATTCTTTGTGGTGTGACTTGACAGCAAGTGTATAAAACTTTGCATTTTAGAGTTCAGAGTCTCTTTATTAAGCTGTTGTTTCAATATCTGTTAGAATATGAGCTGGAAGAAAAGCTGTTTGGTGGTGGCGAGATGGGAACCAAGGACACTTCTGGAGATGTTGGAGACCAGTCTGATTCCAGCACGTAAATACCTTGTTCCAGTTCTAACAGGAATTTCCTTTGTCGTGTTGCCTGACCAGCTGTATAAAATAAGTTTTAAACTATTTTAAAATGTTCCCCTTAAAGTTCTAAACTATTGTTCAGGAACACTAGAATTGCAAACCCTAGTTGGGATCAAGAGGAGACACAGGCATTTCAACACAAAGACAGATAATTAATGTATTAAATGAGGGTGTAAATGTTCAGCATTAGCTATCCAAGTCTAGAAATCCTGGCATAAGTGCATGCGTGCAAACTTCTTGTGCAGATTGGGTTCCTGTGTTTCGTTATTTATGCTGGTTGTATTTGTAACAGTTCTGCTAGAATAAAACAGAAAACAGGGATGGAATAAACCTCAGGTAACTTTTCAGTTTTTCATTATGTTTTGTTGTTAATTGTGTGTTTGAATTCCAAGGGAAAGCTTGGAGCACTCTCTGGGTGACATCAGCAACACTCGGGCTCTGCTGGCTGAGGAGAGAATTCACATAGCAGCCGTACAGAGGAACATAAAATTGCTTGATGACATGGTCAAGGAGAAGAAACTGGTGGTCCAAAAAACCGGGTTAGTGTTTAACTGAACATTATCCATCAGCATAAATCACGGACAAGTACTGGGATACTGTATCAGTAATAAGTGTTACAGTTTATAGAACTATAAACCATATCCTGTGGGAATCCTAGCTGTGAATCTTGCCCTCAGGAGGAAGAGTTTTACTGGAGAGAGTAAAGAACTTGGAAAATGTGAGTGCTCTGTTTGTTTCTTGCAGACAAAAGCTGTGTGCCTGTCAGCTGCGGATCAAGATGCTGGCAAAGCAGCTGGATCGTGTAGACATGGAAATAGAGAGAGAGAAGGAGGCTGGCAATGTGTAGGTAGAGAGTATTTCTGGATACCAGGGATCACAGGCATCCACTGTGTTCATCTGTGTGCAGTTAATGAGACCAGTGCAGAAAGAGGTGCAAGCTTGGGAATGGGTAGGAAAGAGGCATATTTTAAAATATAACAACAGGTATTAAATCAGCCTAGCCCACTGCTGTCAGCTGTGTATGTCAGGGTCTCAATCTTCTATTCAGTCTGATGAATCAAGGTGCTGTGGCAGTTCTTTGGTCATGGCTTTTTCTCTTGTCATGGTGACAATTCAGTCAGGATTTAGATATATATATCTACATGTACGGACTTATATATATGCCATTTTTTTCCCGTTGTGTTGTGGAAGGCAGGAATGCCTTTCAGGAGTAGCTCTGCATACAGGAGCTGCTCTGAAACACTTGTGCTGCTCCCTCAAGTGGGAGGCAATTTACTGTACTCTTCACATTTGGTTTAAATAGAAAGCAGTGGGTGGCTTGTGTACCAGGAACCAGAGTATTGTGACCAAACTTCGCAGCTGCATTTATAACCTGTGCTGATCTCCAGGTTAGTGCTTCCCTGAGGGAGAGAGAGAAAGGCAGGTGAACTGCCAAAATGGGAGAGCTGCTTAAGCAAAACTGAGGAGCTGAATGCAAATGAGCCTCCCAGGGTGGTGCAAGTGGGATCTCAGAGACAGGAACAAAACCCAGCAGAGACAGAAAAGCAGTGTGGAGTGTTTATCCTTATGATGGGTCACATTGGGAGGCCTAGATACGTAAAAAAAAAAAGCAATTCTCTCAATCTCTTGCATTTAGCAAGTGACTAGTGGAGAAGGAAGACTGGATGGATTTCTGGCTTATGAAGCTCAGAGGCATCATGTTTTAGCAATAAAGGAAATCCTGTCTGCCATTAGCACTCCCAGTGCTGGAGTTAGAGGAGAACTGCAGGTAGAAGGTCCAATTTTCATTTAGAGGATGGGAGTTTGTGTTCAGTATAGTCAGGTCACTGTGGATCCTGCAGCACAGTCTGTTGGTTTTCCTGAGTACAGAAGAAAAATAACTGTGTGGGAATGCTGCCACTGTAGACAATTACATGGAATATTGTGATGCCATTTTAAGAGCAAAATCAGTCTAGGTTCTCTGGATTCACCTGAGCTCATCTTCAGTAGTAATGCTACTTTTATCAGTGTGAGAAATTAATAGTTGCATTAAGCTAAGAAAAAATTCTCATCTTTTTATTTCAACCAATGTGTGAGAGCATAAAGAAAGCTCTGCCTCTGGGTGAAGAATGGACACCTGAAAGGTTAAATAAGACACTGTATAAATTAATGGCATTCTAATACATAAATCCTCAGCCTCCAAGCTATGCTTTTTTAACCTTTATTAGTTGAAATTTCTCTCTGATTGTTTCTTCTGCACGATTCCAGCCCAGCCCTGTCCCGCCTGCGGGCCGTGAGCCGCCGGCTGCACTCCGAGCTGGAGAGGGAGAAGGAGTCAGAGCTGATAATTGATTTGAAACTAGACCAAGACAAGTGAGTGAGGGAATGAGAAAGGGGTGTGAAGGGAGTCAATCTTTATTACCTTCTTCATGTGCTATTGAACGGATTCACAAGTGAATCAATACAGAAGTTGCTTGTAAATACTGAGCTACATCATTGGAGGTCATTGACTGCAAGGCAAAGCATCTGGAGAGCAACTTTGAGCCTGGAGGTTCATTCTGTAGGAAATTTCTTGCTGTGGCTCAGCCCTGAGTTAGTTTTGCACACATAAATGAAGTTCTGATTCTATTTGGAGTTGTACATCAGTCGTGGACCTAAACAGGTCTCCTTTTAAATGGAAAATAAGCTGGACTCACATAAACCTGTCTGTGATACTGATCCCTGCATGAGCATAAAGACTTCTAATTTATGCCTCATAGTGTTTTTATAGGGCATAAAGGACAGGACTGGAATTGAATGTGAGGAAGACATTGTAGCAGTGCTGTGTATTTTCATGCTGAGCTAATATTGCTGCTTGCAGTTGATTGTTCACACATTATAAATTATTTACTTGTAGAAGACAGAGTGAAACTGCCCTTTGCAGAAGGCAACAGGTGAGTGTGTTTGTATTTTGGTACCAGAGGTGCCACTCCATCAAAGGAAGAACACAGGCACAAGCTTTTAGCTGGGATTAGCCAAGTGGTTCCAGGATACAGTGTGTTTGCTGCAGTGTTGTGTAATAGCTGTAAAATGCTTGCCTTGTTTATTGTGTGATTAGCAGTACATAGAACAGATTAATGTAGTCATCCCTGTCATATCTGAATTCCTTCAGCAGAGCATAGAAGGATAAAAGCTATGGCCTGTCTCTGAAGTTACTTACTGTTGAAGAAAAAGCTGGTTTTCTAATTTTTCTTGGGTTTAGTGTTTTCTTCTGGGTAAATGTGAGAAATAGAGCCTTGGGGTTTATTTTTTTACCTTTTTTTTTTTTTTTGACCAGTAATTTTGATGTCTTTAAAATGGGATGTGCTATTAGATATGAGCCTTAGTCTGAAACAGCTTTTCAGTAAGAGGCTTTGATTTACAATGCATTTAAAAAAGAAAATGAAACAAAACACAGCTAGATGTTCATTTTCACCACAGAGCCTTCCCTACTCAACACACCACCTTCAGCAAGTGAAAGAGTGCCAATATTTCAGTGCAAACACCTCACATTTTGTTTTAAAGGCTGGAGATGTGGGAGATAGAAATCGAGCAGGGAAAATACGAAGCGATCCGTGACAAACTTCAGCAAGAGGAGGAGCAGCTCCAGAAGCACTACCAGGAGCAGAGGGAAGGGCGGATTCGGAAGGAGAAAAGAACAGCCCTGCAAGCAGAAGGGAAGCGCCGCTCCCGGGAGCAGTAAGGGCCCCTCAGCCAGGCTGGGCTGCCTTCCTGGGGTGTTGTGAGCCGGGTCACACTGCAGGGGCTGACGGGGGCTGATTCAGACACGAGGATTTGTTGGGTTTCTTAGCTGGGTGTTGGTTCAGCAATGAGGAGTTGGAGTTAAAACAAGAACTGGCCGCGGCCTTGCAGTCCTGCAGGTAAAGATTTCTGATCTCTGAGAATAAACTTGTTCATGACAAGAGCTGTGAGTGCCTTGTGTGGAAGGAAATGAAGTTTATTAGGTCAGACTAAGTGCATGTGTCTGCAGTGCTGTTGGCCCCCAGGACCTTCTGAACTTATGATCAACCCTTTGAGATTTCCTACAGAGAAAGCAGACACCTGTGTCAGCCTGTCTGTAGCTTTCATGAAGTTTATCAATTTGTCTGTAGTGTGGGAGGTGCAAACTAATGTCCTCATTTCCTTAAACTCCCCAGCCCCTCCCTTAGGTGTCACTGTGTTGGAGTCAAGGTTTGGTCCTGCTGCAACTCTTGCCTGTGTTTTGCAGAAAAGAGGAGAAAGCCCAGAAAGAACATGAAGAAAGAAAGAAAAAAATACTTGAGGATGCGAAAAGGAACCACAAGAAAGCAGCCTGCTTCCTAAAGCAAAGCACAGCAAGGTTGGGCTTCTGTCCTTTCTCTGTTCTACAGTACTTCAGGCATTGAAAAATCAGGGTTTTTCTGCAAGGTGTATCTTGTGTTACACCCAGAAATCTTGTGCCACGGCACAGTGTGGGGAAACATTCACATCTCACATGGCACAAAAAGACCTGCAAAGCAGAAAACCCACTCACTGTCCCAGTATGGCCTTCAGATTCCCTGGAGGGAAGGGATGTTGATGAGATGCAGAGGGCTCTGACCACTTGTAGGCATTAATAATCATTTGGAGCACTTTTTTATATATGTGTGTGTGTGTCATTAGCTGAAGTAGTTTGAAGCAGTATAACTAGAATCCAGGTTTGAAACTTGCCCTCTGCTGTTCCATATCCCCTCAGAAATGTGGTGAAAAAGCATCTTGCTCTCAGGTAAATGGACTGACTTTGGATTCCTGCTCTGGTTGATGGTGAATTAAATGTTCTCTTAATAGGTTTGTGTTTATGTAATTACTGAGGCGTTGAATTCTTTTGCTACTAAAGAAACATTTGTTACTTATTTTTACTTATATACAAATAAATCCTAATATACAAATATTAGGACTTAATTACAAAATGATGGAAACAATTATGCTGTTTCTGTGTTGGTTTGTTTTTCATTAGATGACATGTGCAAATTGATCATAATTAAGAAGAACAAACAAAAAGGTTTCTTTTCCTGACAAATGTATCAAATATATCAGTCTTACTAATTTTTTCTAGTTTACCATTATATTAACTGCAGTACTCCCAGGTTTGATTCATGCCCACATATTTCTAACTTTTAATGTTTCCAGGTTGGGTTGGGTACATGTGCTGGGCTTGTATAAAGTTCACTATGTAATTGTTGAGATATTGGTTATGTGAACACCTAAATTCTTACTTTATTTTAGCTACTAGTGAATGTCGTAACATGGAACATTGAAATTGAAATTTAAAAAAAAAATAAATGAAGCTGTCGAGCAAACTATTTGAAAGCCTGTTGGCACTTGGTGCTGTGTTGGGAGTCTCTGGCTGTCCCCCTGCACCCACAGCCACTGTCCCAGCAAACAGAAAAATGGCAGGTGACACTGGCAATTTCTGCTTGTCAGCTTAAACATTCTAATGCCAGAAGCTTTCCAGGATGTCAGCCTGAAAGATCTTACTTTGCTTACAGAATTCATGACAAAATTGCAAAGGAAGAAGAGAAAACTCAGGAGCATATGGAGAGAAGGATACAAGCTGTGCTTTCCCTGAAAACCAGCATCACTTCCAACAGGGTACTGCTGCTGGGCTGGGATGGCAGTGAAGTCACTGCCTTGTGACACTGCTGGGGGTTAGTGCAAGGAACTGCACTTCTCCTGGCAGAGCTGTGGGGTGGGTTTTGATCAGATCACTGAGCAAACCTCGTGAGACTGGGGCCAGTTAAACTATGGGAGAGGGAGATCTGTACGGGCAGGTTTTGGCAGTTCTGCTGATGGAGCTTATTCTGTCAACAGTCTAGTTGTTCTGGGAAGGGAACTCTCTGGAAAATAATGCATACTACAAATAAGTCCTCTGCAAATTCAGCCAGAAGGATTTCCAGTTATTTGGATCCCAGTGCAGAAATACCCCACATGGAGAAAACATATGGAAGAAAAACAGTTATTTTAGAATTTCAATAATGTAAATTAGGAATTTCTGAGCTATGCTGCTTTGCTCTTCTATTTATGTTCTAGAGAATCTGAGGGAATGATCTTAATTTAATCCTGATTTGTTTAGAATTGTATCTTTTCACATTCCTTCATTGAGCAGCATTCCAAGGGCAGGCTGGAAGGGTAGAGAAGGAGCCTGGTCCTAGGCAGAGCTTTCTGCACCTCAGCAGCCCTACAGACTACAGAGAATATAAAAAACAATTGGCTTCTGCTTCAGAGACACCCACCACTAATTTATACTTGGATAAGGGGACCAACACTAGATTCTCTGTTTTATATTCTTTATGATGTGAATCAAATATGTGACTGGTTTGTATGACTTCACAGGAAAAGCTCCAAACTCTCCAGGTTTTGAACAAAGCAAAGGCCTTGGAGGCAAAGAAGGAGGAGATGAAAATGAGGGAAGCCATCCTAGCAGAAGGAGGCAATGTTGTCCAGGAAATTTTCCTCCACAAACGACAGCTAAAGCATGAAAAAGAGGAACAGTAAGTGGCATATCCATATCCAACTGTCAGCTGCTTCCTGGGGCTCATCAGGAGTGTGGTGGAGCTCAATCAGATCCTGAAAACAGACCACCTCTGAGTGAACTCCCTCTCCCTGTGTGTGGGGGGCAGTTGGACAGTCTGTCCTGCAGGACCTGAGCGCTGGTTTAGGGCTGTTGTTCAGAGCCCCAAAGCTGGGTGAGTGTTGTGTGAGCAGTGCAAAGATCAGCTGCTCCAGGAGGGAAACTCAGTGACCCTCCATGGATACCTGGAGTAATTGTCCTCCTGCCTTTCCTGAACACTCTGAAAGTCTATATTAGCCTTCTAAAACACTGCAGTGGAGGATATTTAGTGTGCAAAAATGTATAAATAACTTCTGAATCACCTGATGTCTTGACACAAATGACCACTGCACCCAATGTGGATATTTAGCTCAAAGGCTCAAAAGTAACTGGGCTGTAGATAATATTATTAGTAAACAACCATGGTTGGGTTAATATTTCTTACAATACTGGATTACAGAGCTTTCAGAGAACTGCAGAAATCAAGAAAAATTGAGATTGTATCTCGAATTCTGAAAGAAGAAGCTTCTTTTCACAAGCAGAAAGAAAGTCAGTCCCGTATTAGGGCACCTAAGGCTCGGGGTAAAGTTGAGGACCCTTCAGTGCAGAGAAAGGAAGCCTGGCCCTGCAGGGAGGAGACCTGCACACGTGCAGGTGGAGCCACAGCACAGGTAAGCAAAGGGCTAAGAATCAACTGCCTTCAGATTTTTAGATCTTTGGCCTCTGAGCTTTGTAGGCCCATCATTTTTGTATTAAAAGATCTCCTCAGAAACTGGTAACTGTTGGAGTAACTGTTCTCTGGTAATTTTTAACTGTACCCTCCAAACTTCTTTCACAGGAGTCCTGGCTCTCTCCATCACCTCCTTCCTTGGCTGGTGAGGGAACTGCTCCCGAGGGAGGGAGTCCTGAGGACACAGCCCAGGATGTGCTCTGGGAAAGTGGGGATGATGAGAAAGAGAAGGAAGAGACCCTCTTAGAACCAGAGTTCCCAGGACTTTGGGGCCAGGAATATGACTTGCACAAGGTAAATGTTGTGATCTCTTGTTACAAATAGGAAAGAACCTTGTTTAAAGCCACTGATTATCTATTTTGCAGTTCAAATGCAGCCTTTACATTATTACATAGGTGCAGAGATTCAGATGTGAGAATATCATCAGTCATTACTGTTTGACAATATTCTGGAGGAGTTTGTTGTCTAAAAGGGAAAACAATACTTAGTTCAGAGATCTGTGAAGACACACATCACATGATGTTTAATTGTTTGAGTTTAAAACAACTTCAAAATCAGTCAGAAAAAAAATCATGTCAGTATATGTTCCTATCCTTGCCTGGAGAAGCCCTGGACCAGAACTGCAACATTCCAGAGAAGTCAGCTGTTTTTTTTTTCTGAGTATTTGTTTAAGAAGTTGAGGGGAAACAAACTCTCAAGGTGCAGAAAAGCTGATACTGCCATGTCATAGTGTTGGGTGATGAGAAGCTACAGCACAGAATAAAGAATAAATTAAATTGCTCCTGGAGGAGCTGGGAGGCTGAGTTTGACCTGGAGAGAGCCTGGCAAAGGCTGGCTAGGTACTGAAAGCTTCCTTTTGCAGGCTTTTCTGCTTTGAGCTGTGATCACACACAGCCCTGCTGTTTTTTCTGCTTGTTCCCTCTCAGATACCCAAGGAAGAGGTGGATCCAACACAGCTGGCTATCAGGGCACTGAAAAAAGAGGTGTCTGAGAACAAAATGGAGGAATTCCAAACTGGAAGTTTGACCAAGCAAACAGTGCCTGGTCGTGAACACAAGGGCTGTGCTTTCCACAGCAAGCCCAGCTGCATTCATTTCAAGGTCAGTGCCCATTCCCTGGGGGATTATAAACATGGAGCTGCTGTAGGTGTATCCCAGTCTCTGGATCAAAATTCTGTTGCAGCCTTTAATGTGTTTTTATGTGAAATTTGGAACAGCACCTACCTTTTTCACTAACAATCTCTCAGTAGAGTTATAGTCAGATTAAATAAACTACTTAGTTTTACTACTTGGGCCTAAATTATAAAATATATCCTCAGGGGAGTTTAAATCCTGTCAGAAAGGTGAGGAGTTGATGAAAACCCTTGTCAGACTGTGTTCTGTGTTTTTTAAAGGGCAGCATGACTGGTACCTGTGTATTGTTTGTAAATGTATTATTACTGTAAAATAATGTCCTTAAAGAAGTGGTGGCTCCCATGCAGTTAAGATTTCAGTTAGTTAACAAAACTGTTAATGACTATTAGAGCATGAATGTGAGGAAATGTCTTTGACATTCACCTGCTATGTTTGGCATTCCAAGGATTTTGATGTTGGTCAAACCTACAAAAAGAAGATAATTTTGACCAATGCCTCCTACAGTGTTAATTACTGCAGGCTGGTGGGGATCAGTGAGTGCCTCAAGGACTTCATCAGTGTTCAGTAAGTAAATTAACTGTGAACTCCTTGCTTGTTCTCCCTTTGTACCTCAGCAGGAGCTGGAACCCAGTTCTGCAGCAACAGGAATTCCTGCTTGTCAGGGGTGAACCCTGATAAACTCCACAGAGCAGCTCCTCACTCCCCTCTCCCATGGGACAGGGGAGAGAATTGGGGGGAAAAAGTAAAACTCGTGGGTTGAGTTAAACACAGTTTAATTGGACAGGAAAGGGAGGGAAAAAAACTGAGGAAATAAAGGAAACCAATCTGGGAGCAGAGAGCACCGGAATTGCAGTCTTGTGGTCTTTCCCATCAATCTATTCCTGTAATCCTGCTGACAGGTTATGTAATGAAGCACTGTCTCTGCTTGGGAGATTGCAAATTAATCTCAGTTTAACTACATTGATAATTTTATCTCACTGTTTATAAATAAACAAAAGGAAGGCTCACAGTTGCAGCAGGGTTCTGTAGCCCTCCCTTAACCTGTCACTCATTCTGACTTTTGTGATAATTAGTCCAAGTGAGGGAGGGGAAAAAAATAAAAAATACCTGCCACTGTTACCAGGGCAGGAGCTGGAGGTTTGATACACAGTTTTAATTTGGAGTTTTATGTTCATTATCTCTATAGTTTTGATCCACCTGGCAAAATGTCTTCTGGAATGTCCTGTGAATTTGTGGTAACCTTCAAGCCAATGGTAAGTGCACAGTGAGAAGAATCCTAGTGTTACACACTAATTAAAAACATCATTAATTGAAGTTCCTAACTGTTAACAAGGAAACAAGCTGCATCCTGTTGTCCATGGATTGTGTGCATTGATAAGTTGCAATATGGCATATTCTGAGGGTAGATTTCTAAATAGTTACAATCAAGTTATCCAGGCTGTTACCAAAGGCTGTTTGACACTGGAAATGTAGACTCAGTAAAAATACATTTTAATATGGTACTCAAAGAATGAATGAAAATGCTTTTCATCCCACTACATAGGCCAAACCTTTGGAAATTACTTATGGGGTTTTTTTGTTGTTGTTTTCTAGATAAATGAAAGTCTGGCAGGAGAAGTCATGTTTGTGGCACAGACAGGTTCCTTTTCTGTCCCACTGCAATGCACAGTCAAGAGCTGCGTTGTGAGTGACTCTTGGAAGCATGTGGATAATATAATTATTATCAGAAAAGGCGGATGCTCGTTTAATTGACATTCCTGGCTATGTAGGACAGGAGTAATTAACAGTTTATCTTCTCACAGCTGGCTCTGGATAAAGAGCTCATTGACTTCGGCAGCCACGTGGTGGGAGAGACGATTTCCCGGACCCTCATCCTGACAAACAGCGGAGCTCTGGGAACCAGATTCAGAGTTCAAACATCAGCAGGTGACAGGAGCACACACAGAGCGACAGTAAAACCCGCCCCTGCAAGGATGGTGGGTTCAAAAACATCTCCTAAATGAGCAGAAACTGCTTTGTGGGGTGTGGTGGAGCTGCACAGGGTCACAGAGCAGCTCAGGCCGGGAGGGACTCGGGAAATCATCTGGCCCAACTGTAGTATATTTGAGTTGGTACAATTAGAATCTGTTAGACCCAAATATCAGAAGATAAAATTAAAAACTATTATTTTGTGAGGAGAGGGGAAACCAACAATGCTTATTTTTTAAGCAGTTTAGTAATTTATGGCGTGGTTCCTATTTTCTCCACATTCATAACAATTACGAAAAAATAGTTAAAAGAGGAGATTCTGACAAAGTAGTTAAAAATCCCAACTCCTGGAAAAATGCTGACTGGTGCAAAACTAGCAATAAAGTAAGGGATGTGATAAGGAGAAGTCTAGTTTCAGCAGACTTAGTTTTGACATAGAACTGCCTGTGTTTTTACTGGAAAAATGTTGGTTCTGTCATTTGCAAAATAACTGACAGTGTATTGTATTGCTCCTGTTATGTTATTTACCTGCTTGGGGCAGCCAGCAAAAATCAAATCTGTTCATTGATAAAGCTCTAAAAGAACGTGCAGTTCTTGGAAAGTGCAGCACATTTCTCCATCTATAACATGCAACAGTTGCAAGAAAGAACAAGTCTGACTTGCAACAGCTTGTTAAATTGGAGCTGGTGCAACCTAAAGGGACAACCACAGGAGCAAATACGTGTTTTCCAATAGGTCCCTCGACATTCCAGTGGCTGTGACCCTGAAGAGGAGGGGAGCAGCAGTCCTGGGGCAGCTGGGCTGGGAAAGCAGGTCCGGATTTGTGCTGAGCCCGGCGAGGAGGTGACCCCCTGTGCAGCCCAGCAGCCACAGGGACCCCAGAGCAGCAGTGCCACGGGTGAGGGGACTGGTTTGGGACACTGGCCCTGCAGCTTCCCAGGCCAGGCATTGTCCATCTGCAGTTTCCTGGAATGAACTCTGCAATTCCGTTTGCAAAGTTACTCAGTAAATAAGTAGTTCATCATTCTGGTAGTGATGTTATATCTCTTTGTGTGTTGCCTCACAGAAGATGACTAAAAATAATGTCCTGACACCATTATATCAAAAGCAGCAGAGATCCTCACTTCTCATTAGTGATCAAGAATTCAGTCCCAGAACACAGAACCCAACCAGCCTCAGAAATTGCAAAATTGTTAACATCATCCTTGTCTCAGCAACTGAATCCCCACTTCTCAGAATAGCAATCCACATGACAGGTTTATTTTTACAGTCTGTAATTCTAGGAACAAGGAAGCAGAAAGATGAACCTCCTCAGACATTTTCCATCTCATTCCTAATGTTTACTATGTGCTTAATAAAATCCAATCTTGTAGAAGAAAGACATTCTTCATTTCTTTATTATCTCTGTTCTTTAACATTTCTTCCCAATATTGAGCATTCCAATTTCAGGAAGCCAAAAGTTCCATGCAAAGGTTGTGGGTGGTTTTTCCAGGTCCTCCTTGGCTGCACTGCTTTGTCCCACTAAAACTGCTCTTGAAGCCAGTTCACACTTCCATCTGAGTTTGCATTTCTGGACGTAACATCTCCGTCTTTTAACTCACTGAAACATTAACAGTTGTTCTGTAATGAAAGGTCCAGGTGCCTCAGGTGGAATTCCAGACTAGACTAAAGCTGGATGGCCAAGCAGACATTTCCTTCTAGACATTCCTGTTTCCCCATCACTGCTGTACAATCCTGGATTTGCAATATTGACCCCAAGGAATGTACTTCTGCTCTGTTGGATATTTTTCTTAGTGAATTGATGCAAACATCCAGCGTTTTGTTGTGTTTTGTGTTTGTTTTATTTTCCCCCCAGAACAACTTGATCAAGAAGTTCTGAGTATGAGATCAGACCTGGACACAGACAACGCACAGGATTCAATGGAACTTTGTCCTGAAGAAACACCAGTTGAAATTATGCTTGGAAAGGTAATGAATGTCCTGAGACCCAGACAAGATTTCACTAAGTCTAAGCCTCCATCAGATAAGTTGCTCTGGTGAGAAATGCTGAAGGTCATGGTCATTTCAAGCCCACTGGACCTCACTCCATCAGTGAATTTTTACAGTGAAATCACAGGACACATTTCCCCTTGCTTTGGATCTGTAAAGACTTCTTTGAGCTGAAAGATCCTGTTTACTTCTACATTTCCCACAATTTAACTCTGGTTTTCTGCTGTGTGGTTCTGTGGTTAAACCAAGTGTGGTGACAGCACACAAGATGGGGCAGGAGGAACGTCTGGGAAAGGTCAGATCTGAGCCATGTTACACAGTCTTCTGATCCCCATGTTTTCTGTGCCCAGTGTGTTCAGTTTAGTTACAAACTGGCTGTAGGAAGGTGTGTGTATGGTGTGAGCATGCACAGCCTCTTTGTTTCAATGCCATTTCTCATGTTCATTAAAGGCATGTCCTTGTTGTTCAGGTCACTGAGGGGGAGGTTGGACCCTTCAGCTCGGTGAAGGTCCCGGTGCTGTTTGTCCCAGCTGTCCCTGGGGACGTGAGGGCAGAGTTTGTGATTGTGTTTGACAACCCAGACTGCAAACCAGTGAGTGATTTTGTGAAAGACTTGCTTTAAAACACTGTGTGAAAAGAGTTGAAAATCTTCTGATTTTCCCAGGAATTATGTAATATGTGGTTTGATGGGAGGTAACTTTGTAAGTCCTGCCCTTCTTTCTGATGCAGGATGCTCATGATACCTCCTCATTTCTTAAATTTCTATGCAAATAATCCTGATATTCCCATTTTATCAGACATCATAATGAAAAACACTTCATGTCCTGGAAACAAATGTGGAAGTGTTCTCCCCTATTCCCAATACATGTAGTTTATTTTCTTTCTGGTATATCAGAATTGGAATTATTTAGCAGGCAGTAGTGAAGCTGATGTGTGAAAGCTGGAAGAGATGACAACTTCAGTTACCACTTCAGTATATTTTGATTCTAAGTTTCATTGGAAGCCAAATTCTGCTTGGAACAGTTCACAGAAGCTTGCCAAAAAATAAAGACAAACTTCCCAGCAGCTCAGTAGCCAGTCTTGGCTCTTCCCTCAGTCTGCAGAAGGAGCTGCAGATTCCTGCTGAGGCTCCCGTGGGCACCTTCTCCTGCAGGCTCACGTTGTGCAGGTCTGGGCTCTGGGGGCACTCAGGAAGCCCAGCCCTGTGCTGCTGTCACTGCACTGCTTTGCTGGCTGAAGGAGCTGCAGTCCCAGGGGTGCTGGATCATGGCCAGTTCACTCCAGCTAAATGCACTGCAAACATTTCAGTGTCAGGGGCAGATGCTCTTCCTTCATGTTCTTTGTCAAAGAGTCCAAACCAAACTATAATTCCTTTTTTCTGCTGGACACCCTCCCATCTCAGGTTTCCTTTACAGATGATTTCTGTAGATGTGCCTCATTAAAGAACCTGTTGCAATACGACTAATAGAGTATTTTGCTCAGCTGTAGTTTGCAGCTCTGGGTAGGTCAGTGAGGATCTGGGGCTCCCAGAACTAACCCCACTGTGGTCTGTGCCCTGCCAGCTGTGCTTCAGTGCCGTGGGGGTGTCTGTGGACGTGCCCCTCTGGGTGCCCAACCCCGACGTGGACCTCAGGATCTGCCTGTACGACCGGCTGTACCAGGACTGTGTGACCCTGCGGAGCAGGTGAGTGCCTTGGCATGGCCTTGGCATTCCAGGGGCACAGCCCTCTGAGTGCCACCCTGCTGGAGACTGCACTTTGCTGTCCTGCTATCCCAGATTCCCGAGACCAGCCATAGCTATGGAGTCAATACACACCTTCCCACCCCTGTAAGATTCCCTGTGTTATTCCTGTTCTGTGGTGTAGCTGTGAAGTCCCCAGGGAATAGCAGCCCCACAGTCCCATCACGTGGAATTTGCTCCCTAAACATTAGGGAGATAAATGTGTCTAAAACTAAGTGCACTTTGGGTATAATTGAGTCAGTCAGGAAATTTTATAAAATACTATTTTGGTGTTTCTCAGCTATTTTATCCTTAATTAAAGCCCCTGAGAGCCTTAGGAGACTGAGAGACTTTCCAGGCTTGGGATACAATGTTGGATAAATCATGTCAGTCCTTTTGCATTTACTCTAAAATGGGAAGGGTTCAGCTTTTCCTGACCCCTACAGGCCTTCAGCAGTGCACTGGACTGACAGAACCCCTGATTAGACAGCAACCAAATACTGCCTTACAGGAGGAAAATATCTGGGTGTCTCTGAGCCCAAGCCAGTCATGTCTGAGGACTGGTTCTGTTTGCACTGTGATACAAAGAGAATGTTCCAGCTCCTTGGCTTCCAGAGATTATTAGAGTGGTTACATGAACATTTCTTTGTCTTCAGGTGCTGGGTGTCTTCCCCCAGCCCAGCACAGTCACTGTGGAATTCTTATTTTAACAATTTGCATTTCTTAGAGTCTATTTCAATAGGCTTGGGGTGGGTTTGTGGGAGGGTGGGGGAGAGATTGGTTCTGTGGAAGGCATCCATGCTAAACCTCTTACCAGAATTACAGACTGCAGAGATTCTTCACAGTTGGAAAGAAATGAGTAAAGCTGTTATCTCAGAAATTCAGCTTACAGATATGACAAGCACAAGTTGTTATGTAAGTGATTTTACTTGGTCTAGATAACCCAGGGATAAAACTTATAAGTATAGAAGCAGAATAACTCTCCTAATAAAACCGAAGATTTCAAGGGGATCCCAAAGATAGAAGCTGTCAAATTGCTTAGGGCAAAACTTCTTAACTGAGGCAAAAATCCTGCTGATCCTGTGCCAAGTTTCACTAAATGAAGAGCATTTAATATGTAGTATCCTGTCCGGGGCACCTTGGCAAGTCAAGGCTTTGATTTATCACCCAGTTCTCCCTCATTAGGAAAGACTGTCTGTTGTACAGTCACACAAACAGTATGTGTATAACATTGTTGTACAGTCAGCTGGGCTGAAATTCCATGCACTTCATGTGCAGGAATGTCATGTATCAACTTTTTATCCTGCAAAAGTGGGCAGATCTCATCATTCTGTTGGAGCTGAGGAGTTCCTCCCTCTCTTAGCTGTTGACACTTTGCTGTGGCACCAGGAGGAGGTTCCTGCCTGGATCTCACTGTCTGTGACGTTGTCATCCATGGCAGGAGTGGAAGATGAAGTTTTCAAGGGACTCAGATACCTCTGGCACTGGAGTGCCCCAGCAAGCTCTGGTGGATTGCAAATTATTTGTTAATACTGGATTTGTTCTGGGTTTTGGGGGCTTTTTTCCTCTGGTCATATAGACCCCAGTAATCAAGCAGCACAAAGGGTGAAAGTGTCTTATCAGAATCCTGTTCAATAGAAATCACTTTGAAAAGTAATTTCTTCGTCAGGTTATAATCTGCACTGATTTAATGAAGTAGTATATAATTCTCTTAGATTGTCAGCAGTCAGAAATCATTGCAGGCTCCCAGTCCCACATGCTGGAGCTGTTGATTTAGAGGAGACCATCTGGTCTGACAGCTTGGAAAGCAGTCCAGGGAAGGAGAATGACAGGCTGGAATATTTGTAAATTGCTCGGCAATTTTGCACTTAGGCATCAAATTCCAAACAGGGGCTGGGCCGTGGCTGTCGCTGGGCTGGGATAGAGCCACAATTCAGGAAACAGGGAGAGGTTTCCTGCTTCCAGTGTGCCACTGCTGGGGCACATTGATCCCCAGGTTTAGCAGAGGAGCTGGCAGGACCAGCTCAGCCATGCTGTGACTTCCAGCTCTTCAGGATCTCTGCTGTTAAAGGAGGGGTTACAAGAGATCCGTGAATTCACATCTGTTTAAAGAAGTCACCAGGGTTCCAGTCATCCTATTGATCCAGATAGAGCCAGTGTGTGTTAGGAGCAAATAATTAGCTGATATTTCACAGTAACTTGGCTTTGACTCCCCCCTGACCTGAGTTACCACTGTGCTGAGCTGTGATGGTTCAGTTTGGATCAGCTGTGTGTGCTGTTTGCAGTACAGCTGGCTTTGTTACAGTACTTCCCAAATCTTGTTTTCCCTACTTAAAAGAGAAACACGACTATGTGAACTTGCTGTAGCAGTTTTCCATGCCCTTCATTTTCAAAGGGAGCTTGGGATTGTTCTGATCACGGTGTGGAGGTGCAGGGGGTGTTGCTGAGGTGGCCCCAGAGCCACCCAGGCACGTGTGATCTGTTTGCAGAGCAAGCACCACGCTGCGTTTCAAGTTTGAAGTGTGCAAAGAACTGAGCAAGCACCTGGAGCTGCTCCCAAGGACAGGCTACATCCAGGCTCAGTCAGCCTTCAGTGCACAGCTCAAGTTCCTGCCCAGGTTAGCAACCCCAACCCCAACAGGAACCTTCCCGGGTTTCAGGCGGTGCCAGTGGCAAAGCTGGGCAGAGTTGCTGTCCCTTCCCCCTGAGCAGGCTGGACTCCCACTGCTGGGTCACTGCAGGCCTGGGCTCCCCCCTCTCTGCCCCCAGAAGCTGCCAGATGCTCCGGGAGGAAATGAGCTTGGCTCCCAAACTGTGAGGCAGTGCCTTCCCTGGGGGGCAGCAGTGGGACAAGCGGAGCAGTCGCATTCCTGGTGGGCTGCTCCCGTTTCTGTGGGAAGTTATTCTGAGCCAGGAGAGAGCTTATTGAGGCAGGTGGCTGCTTCATGGATCACTGGTTAAATAATTTCTGGACAATAACTCCTGTGCTTGCTAATTAAGGTAAGAATGGTTGGGCTTCCTGTCCATCTCTCTCCTCCCCATGCACATTTTACTCCAAAAGATGAAGGTATTGATCTTGAATTTCACGTGACGTTTTATGTAACATCTCCCAGCAAGTTTCTCTTCTCCATTTCATGGCACATCTACATACACAGACATAACTCAGTGGTAGGAAACAAGGAATTCCAGTTTTTAAAAATTTAAAGACAAGAGCTTTGTTAACCACTTTTAATTTTATTTACCTCATCATTGCCATCCTAAAGAATTTAGTGGGACATTTCTTTTCATATAGAAATGTAAATGAAAAATGAAAAATTCTGGTGTACAGCCAAATACTTCAGCAGCTTTGGCAGTGATTGCTGCTGCAAACCTGCTGCTGCTTTGATGTAGGTTTTCCAGTCCCATTGATGTATTTTGGATTCTCACTGATGTGCTCAGCATTTCTGGGTTCTGCATTGAGAGTCTAATCACTGATTTCAAAATTTTCACCAGGTTAGTATTCAAAGAACTAAAAGTATTTACAGTTCTCTCAACATCTCAAATCCCATCAGATTACAGCAACTGTAACATGATGACATATTTGAGTTCCTCAACTTCATCTGCTCTAAGCACTGTTACCCTCTCGGAGTGGATAGAACCAGAGCTTGGATTTAGAACCTTAATCTTCCTTTAAAAAACGGGGAAGCTTCAGAAAGGAGATTTGATGAGATTAAGGCATTTCTGACACACAAAATAAGTATCTGGCTGTTTGAGGGGACAGATCAGTTAAAGACCTAATGCAGGGAGGAAGTGCGTGCGTGGGGAGCACGATGAGCTGGGGAAGGACTGAGCCAGTGACACATTTCCGTGAGGCCTCCTCAGTGATTTGGCATTATGAGCTCTATTAATAGAACAGCTGCATTAAAAGTGACACCAAAGTAGAGAGAAACCCCCACTCAGCAGTGCCAGCAGCACACAGCTGGCTGGAGGCTTGGGAAGTTCTCCGCAGTGTTCTGTGCACATGGACCTGCTCAGGCAGGTGTTCCAATACTCACCTCTCTGGGGGTTTGAAACCAGCATTGTTTAGGCAAATTCCATGCCATTTCAGAGAACTGTCTGAAGGATTCCAGGCCCTCTTCCCCAGGGCACAGCAGCTAATTGAGAGTCCACTCCTGTGTCCGTACAGTCACGATTATTTTCCCCCCTCTGGATTATTTTGAAATAGAATAATTTCTCCTGCTCTTCCAATGCCCCGTGACAAAGTGGAAGCTGGTGCTGTGTTCCTCCCTTGTATGTAAGCCCAGTTCCCATCTGTAAAGAAGTTACCAATACCTTTGAACATCAGCCTTATTGCAAAATAACAGCAGCGAGATTTTGGATCACCATGGTGATGAGTGGGTGTTATTTTTATTCATTACCTATTCCTTAACAATGCATCAAAGAATTGCAAGTAATTCCATGAGTAGTAGTAGAACATGAGCACTGTAGAGACCCAAGAACAGGAAACAACTCACTCTGGTGCTGTGAGTCACTATAAATAGAGCAGCAGAGCTAAAAATGCCCCAGGTTTGTATTGTCTTGGCTTGGAGCTCTGAAATGGAGCTTGTGAGAGCAAGATGCTTCACCTACAGAAAACCTGCATGTTCCTTAGAAACTCCTGCTCTGCTCTGTAACCAGGCCCTGCTGGGCTCCAAATGAGCTCCCTTTATTTCTCTGGGCTGTACAAGTGGCTGTGCCTCAGCCAGGCTGGTCACTGGCAGCAGTGTCCACAGGAAACCCTGCCTGCTTGGGCTGGGCACACCCTGAGCCTGCAGCAAAGATGCTGAGGGTTTATATTCTGATTAGAGAGTAAGCTTTTAATTTTTCAGAATTTTAAATGACTGGATGGCTTTTTAAAAAAAAAGGATAAATGGATGCTGACCTCAGTGACCTCCCTTAAAATCCTGTATGTCCAAAATCCTGTCTTTAAAATCAAAAGCCCCAATGTTACTGTACAAGGTCAATCCATCTGATGTCCCTGGCAGCCACTTTTCAGCCCCTGCACTCCTGCTCAGAGTGGGTACCAGTCTGTAGGAAATCTGGGACAAGTCCAGAACATTCCTGACCTGACTGCATCCTCATTGTCTTGGTCAGAAGGTGGGACTTCAGAGGTCACTAACTTTTGATTGGAATTTTCTTCTACCATTCTTCTTTCATTTTCCTTAATGCTTGCACATATCTTCATGCAAGATTTTAATTAGACTTCCCTACACAGGAGGATTTGAGGAGGATTAAATTAAGATTAAGCTAAGATTAAAAATTGTGAATAATAAAACTTTTAGACCTTAAGTAACAGGTTTGGGTTTGTTTTTCTTTCTGTTGAGAAATAATCCATCAAAAGTTTCTTATTCCCCTTAGTGAGAAAATAAGCACAATATTTTAATGACACTGACTGTACTTTTGGGTTTTCAGGCAGTCTCTTCCTGAAGATGCAGGGAACTATTTCAATGCAGAGACAAGAATCCTGGAGGTCCCAGTGACAATAGTGATCATGGACAAGGTGCTGTTTGTGCTGCTCCTTATTAGACTGGTAGTGAATGTCAATTATTCTAGTGAAGGGTCACTTAACCCTACCTAACCTTACATTGGTTCTTTACTACTTGAAGTTTGATAACAGTAAAAGATGCTCAAAGTGCTAACAGAGATTTGATAGTGGCTTCTTGTCACGTGGTTGCAACCCAGAAAGTCAAATCCTGCCTAGTCAGTGCTCCTCTCACATGGCACTGGCAAGGAACAGAGCAGAACTGTTTTGCAGTTATCCTTTTGGATGACATTTCACTTAAATCCTGTCCTTACACCCCACAGGTGGAGGTTTTCATCTTGTGCTCTTGCATTTGTTTCAGACTAGAACAGTTAATTTTACTGTCCATGCCATTGTCTCCACTTCTGATCTGGAAATCAGCCCAGCAGAGATCGACTTTGGGCACTGCACCATCTATGAAGCTGTTCAGGCAAATGTCACAGTGACAAACAAATGCATCTTGCCACAGGAGTTTGGATTTGTGGGGCTGCCAGAGGTATGTGGTTATCCCACACACTCCTCCTCTGCTGTCAAAGAGATTTCAGGATCCTGGGAATGTGTCAATGGGAGAGTAAATAAATCAGGACTGGTGGGTGCAAACGCCGTGGAAGCCCCTGGGCTGGTTCTGGGCTGGTTTGGGTGGATCTCACTGTGTTACACCCCCTGCCTTTTCCAAGCAGTGTAAACACTGGGAGGAGGTTTGACTGTTCCTTTACTAGAACACCTGGTGTTTCACACCAAGAAGGCTCCTAACAGAGCACCTGGTGCTCATGGGGCACGTGTAAAACAGGCCTGGGGATGTGGCTGTGCCCTTGAGGCTGAGGAATGTGCCCAGCTGGCACCCAAATGCCCAAAGGCTTTGTCTTTAAAGCAGGATGGCTTTTAAGCCATGCCCAGACCGCCCCTTGGGAACAATCCTGAGCCACTGCTGGGCACTTTCTGACTGACTGTAAGTGGATGTGGAAGCCAAATTAATCACAGGAGCTGCTGGGTTCGTGTGGGCTGGGTCTGCTGAAGTATTTTTTGCACAAAGTTGGCTGTTCAAGCTCCATAATAGCAGGATGATCACAGTGTGAAATGGTTTGGCACATTGGCATCAGAGTTAGAGGAACCTGACATTTAATTAGGCATTCTCCTGTTCTCTTCTGGTTTAGGGATTAAAATCAAGGAGGGAGCTGAAGGAAATTGTTAACTTCAGCTCTGTGAAAGCTAACAGTGTGTGTTTCCTGGTGAGCTTAAAGTGTGATGGGGAGACATTCTTGAATCATCATCAACTCAAACACAAACCACTGTACAAGTGTGGGAATTAAACTGGCCCTGTTACTGGGGAATCTGCTCCTCAAACAGGGATCAGCTCTCAAAGACAGGGGGAACTGCTGAGATTTTGATCAGATTTCATTCAGTTGTCTATGAAGAGTAAATAAACATTAGAGAAGGGTGATTACCATAGATGGGAAGAAGCTGGGGAAGGGATTCTCCTGAAGTCTGAGTTAATGGATTTAATCCCTTTTGAGTTACTGAGATGAGAAATCTGCATTTCAATCAGACTCATCAGGAACTCAGATCAAAGCTTCTCTCTAGCAGGTTTCTCTTTTCTTGACACTCCCACATATAGTAACAAAATTTTCTTAATCTTACCACTAATGTCTCATTTTAATTTATTAATAAACTGATAATTTAACTAATAACTTGTTATTCTGCCATTTTGAAGTTTGTTGAAGTTCAACCCAACGATGGATTTGGAGTTATTCTTCCCCTGGAGAGCCTGACATTGGACATAATCTTTAAAGCTACCAAGGCAAAAGAGTACAGCTTTGACCTCACCTGCACGACAGAGATTAACAGGTATGTGAAGAGACTGAATACAGGTGATGTGGAAATCTAAATCACAATGGATTTCCACTGTTAAGCTGCTCCAGAAATTAGAGCCCTGCCTGCTCTGAGGAGGAAAGTCTGGGATAAGCACTTGAGGCCAGTGGGAATTCTCCAGTTGATGAGAGTTACTTGGTGACTGTTGGTTTCACCCTTGGCTGACATATTTGTCTTTACTGAGGTGACTTTCCCTACCCCTCCTCAAGTTTATCCTTGTCCAATTTCCAAGCTCCCAGGTCAGCCCAACCTGCAGAACCACTGAAGGAATTCTGTTTTGTACAAATGCTTCGTGCATTAAGCTCATGCTGCTGCAATAATGATGGCATAAACTTTGATTTGACTGGATGTGTTTCCAGAAGTTCACAGAAGAAGAATTCAAGCAGGGACTCTGGCCAATTGTGCATTAAAAATAGATAGTATTATTGTTCATCTTTAGGCAAAATTCCCATTGCAAGCTTGAAATTCTGCTTAAATAGGGACTACAGGATTAGCTCCCTATTTTCCGGGCTGATTAAGACACTATTTTATGCTGAGACAATTTATCATGTGTTTATTTTTAGACAATTCAAGCTGTCATGCAAAGCAGTTGGAGTCCACCCACCTCTTGAATTGTCTCATTCCTTGGTTCAGTTTGCTGCAACAGCTCTGAACTCTGTGTCTGAAGCCACCCTGGACGTGCTGAATCCCCACGTGAGTGGGAACAGCCTCATCCACGCTGTCCCTCGGATTGGCACGGGGGAACCTGCCCCAGTTGGACCCACTTCCTTTGAATTCCACGTGCCAGAGGATTGTCCTGTGACAATTACACCTTCTGTGGGAACTGTGCTGCCTGGGCAGGTAAATTCACTTTAAATGTCAAGTGTTCTGCCAAATCTTTGATCGTCACATCTCCACAAAGGCTGTCACTCGTAAATGAAGCTCAAAATGTGAATTATTATTAGAATAGCTGGAATATTTGGTATTGTTTGAAATAATGTTTTAAATCAGACCTGAGGGTGAACCACCAAATCTGTCTAATGCCTTATGGGAGTGTTCACATTTCCCCAGTCTTGTCACTGGGATTTATTTGAAGAATGTTTAAATATCAAAAGTACTGGTCGTGTAAACCCAGCCCACTGTGACATCCTGGACTCCCAAAAAAGCTGTCAGTGACCTGATCCCGAGGATCCTCTGATTCACCTGGGGGAAGAGTGTCTTTTGTGTGTGACTGTTGTGCTGTGTGTGTGTGCTCCGTGGGGCTCTGTCATGAGGGCTGGGCTGTGCCCACCACCCCTGCTGTGCTCTCCCCTTCCCAGAAAAGCTCCATCCGAGTGTCCTTCAGCCCCGCGCTGCCGGAGCAGCTCGTCAGGGAGGAGGCAGCTCGGAGGCTGAGCAGAGCAGCTGTGCCAGAGGCAGGAATTCAAGTAAGGAATGCTAAGAACAGCACATGCTGCTGGTCTGGCACTTCCAGAGATTTGTTTCTCTGGGTGATATTTTTATCATAAAATTATTTGCATATTAATGAGGCCCAAGCTCGAGGTCCGGGCAGGACCTGCCTGCAGAGGACAAGGGTGGGACTGTGCTGTGGCACTGAACGTGCAGCCAGGTCACTGGGCAGCAATTTCATTTCCTGCTAACCATTTCCAAAGCATTCCTAGAGGATCTTATGGCAAATGCCAACTGCAATACTCTTTAAAAAAAAAAAAAAAAGCTTCTAGACTGCTTGCAGATTTACAGCATCCTGGGGCTTTATGTGCAACCCTTGGGTCAGTTCATATGTGACCCCCTGTGGTTGTCTTTAGTTATGAGATAAACGGGTAAAATTCTCATAAGATACAGAACTCCTCTCTTAAGAGGGGGTAAAATATGCCCATTTTAACTTAATTTTACATTATTGGAAATGTCTGTAAATCTACTATGTCTGTAGGCTGTCACCATAGTCCTGCTGTCCCTTGTTCTGTGCCCTGTCACCTCCTTGGCTCTGTGGCCTTGGGCTGTGTCTTTGTTAACTCGTGTCTTGGGCAGATTCCCAGTGGTGACCCTCAGGGTCTGATGGACAAAGAGAAGAAAAATGGAAAGAGAGAGGGAAAGAAATTGAGCATTTCCATTCCCAAACAGCCTGAGAATAATGGAGGCAGGAAAAGCCTGACTGGAGAGCCAAAACCTGAAGAGTTAAAGCCTGAGTAAGTCAGCAAAAGCATCTTGTACTACACAGACAACATTCTCTTTATAAGTAGTTTAATAAATCTACTAAAGCTGTAGGTAGACAAGAAAGCAAACTGGAGAGGGAGCAGCTTTAGCTGTGTTGCAGAGGCTGTTTCCAAAATTAGTGCTGCTTGAGAGCCACACAGCTGTACCCTCTCATGTGAGGCAAAGAATCCCTTTATGCATCAGAAGGATTGAAGACTTCAAAGAATCTGTCAGGGAGCAGGAGCTGGGGCTGAGCATGGATTGGGCTGAGTCTACCGGGGTTTATTTAAAGGGCAACTGCAGAGCTGGACTGAGTGACCCACAGAAACTGCCACCACTACACCTTCTGTGAACAGACCTCACAGAACCATCTGATGGCCCAAATGCACACTGTGGAGCACTGCTGGGTTTGACTGGAGGGTTTGCAGAGCCCGTGCCATCAGTCAGTCATCTCCATCAGAGAAAGGCTGCTGGGAAATGTGCTGTGGGACAGTCACTGTCCAGGGTGTGCACCTCAGTGAGCACTGGCAGCATGTGCTGCCTCTTTCTTGCTCTCTCACTCACTGAGATGATTCTTATTCCTGGATTCTCTAGTTCTGATGCTTACAGGGCAGCCCAGGCCTCCCTGATGAGGAGTTTCAGTGGGAGTTTTAAGAAATACATCATTCCCTGCTTTGTTGCAAGTGGACAGGCTGCTGGAGAGAAGGGCTCTGGACACCTGAGCTGCAGGTATTGCAATGATAGTCCAGAAGTGCTGGGGGGAAATGGTGGTGATTTATTCCCTCGGGGGAGAAGTTTGTTTTCTGATCTTGATGACTTCATAGCTCAGCAGTAGAAGCTCGTGCTCACAGCCCACCAGTTGGATGAGAATCAAAGACATGAATATCAAAGCAGCTCAAAGAATAATTGTGTGAGAACTTGGAGCCAGATAGTTCATGGCTCTGCTTGGGCACAGAGGGAGCACCAGGAGTCACGTGTGGTGCTGTCACAGCCCTGCAGTCACAGCCTGGGAGATGAGCTGATTTCTGGCAGTAGTTCTTATTTCTCAGCGATCCAAGAGCTCTGCCCTTTTACTCCCTGGCTCCCTTTCCTCTCTCTCCAGCCCTTACAACACGCTGTACCTGGAGCTGCACTGTCCAGCTGTGGCCCCTCCTGTTCTGGTCACTTCAGACAGTGGGGACAATGCGGTCGGTTTTGGAGATGTTTCCGTAGGTATGGAGGCTGAATTCCAGTGCTGAGTGGGTTCTGTCTGACAGGAGGGTCCTCTGAGCATAGTTTTGGGTTTTTGGAAGTCAGGATAGAAATTAGCCCTTAGTGGGCACTTGGGTGGAAAACAAGGAGCCTGTCTGGGCAGCTGAGGCCCAGGAAACAGCAGCCTTGGTCCCAGGCAGGGAACTGGAAGCTCGACAACTTTGAAAGCATTTTGGTGAGCTTTGCCTGGTGCCTCAGCCAAGGACAGGGAACGAGCGTCTGGCCTGGGGAGGAGCAGGAGTGAGGAGGAGGAATGGGAGGGCAGGACTGAGCATCATCACTTCTGGAGCTGTTTTCATTCCTGACAGGCCACAGGACGATGAAGCGAATCACCCTGCAGAACATCTCCCCGGGGAGGGTGGGGGTATCCTTGTGTGGGACATGGAGCCCCCCTGCTTCTGCCTCATCCTCTTCCTCTGCAGGGGGACCTGTTGGACACTGAAGCATCAGCTTCATCTTCTCTGAGTTACTGATCTCTCAGAAGCTCAGAGATGGTTAGTTCAGACTGAAGACACATAGACAATGTGTAGAGTCTGTTCTTACATATTTTTGCTCAATCTTTACGAATGTTTTTCCTTGAGTTGCACCCTTTTAGCTGGGATTCTCAGCTCTGAATCCCAACGGCCCCTTCCTGTTGGTGAGAGCAGTTAGAATGCTTGAGCCAGGTGAAAGTAAAGCCCTGGTCATCTCCTTTTGTCCAGATGAGGATAAATGGGTGAGTAGGAGATACAACAGCAATGGGGGGAAGGAGGAGAGAGATATGAGGGGTGTGTAACTCACGTGTTACCAACCAGGATGAGACTCTACATAATGAGAAAACCTTTGCTGCCCCTCCCAACATTTGGGTTTAGTGTCTGTGCACTCACCCCAGGAGTTTGTAATGACCCATTTGTGGGAGGGGGTCTGTTGGAGGGGTGGGGAGTTTCCTTCAGCAGATGGAATAACCCAGACATTCCCCCTGACAGTTCTGTGAGACCCTGGACATCAGGGTGGCCAATTCCACCCTCAGCCTGAGCCTCTCTGGGCATGGGGTGGTGCCAGGCACTGTCTGCTCCGTGGAAGGAGTGCTGGACATGGGATATGTCATGGCTGGGGAACAGGTGACTTCCACAGTCCTGGTAAGTCCCTCTGTGCTGAACCAGGAAGCACATCAGGAACAGGGAGGAAGTGGACATGAATTGTCTCCTGTCAGATTTTGTCCAAGTCTGGCAATGACCAAAGGCATTGATGGAAGACACTTCAGAGGATCCTGGTCCTGCTGGGGGTGGGGTTGGTGTGACACGTTTTGGGCAGCACTGATGTGTGTCCTCAGTGGCACTGGGGACACAGAGCTGCAGCAGTGCAGCAACACCAGTTCAGCCAGTTTGCCAGCTATGGACCCTGCAGGCCTGAGAATCCATTTCCTTGATGCCAATGCTGCTGTGTGACTGAATGTCCCCAGGTCCAGAACACTTCCAGCCTGGCCCTGCCATTCTGCACCCAGCTGGACTCGCTGTCACCCACCCGGGACAGGGACCGGCAGAACATCCCGGCCTTCCTCAGCTCCTCTGGGCAGAGAACAGAGTTTGTTGGTAACTTGGGTCTTTCTTTCCTCTTTTCCCTTTGCTGAAGACTCAGGCAGTGTAAAGCAGCACTGCTCTGTCCCGGTGGATCTGCCCCTGTCAGACCTGGGGCATCACAGCATTGAAATTAAAGACCTCGTTTTGCTCCCCAGTAGGAGCTGTACTGATTCTTTCAATATGGGCAGCTGTAAATTTATGCAGCCTCAGCAAGTACCCACAAGGAAGGAGATATTAAATAAACCCACACAAATCTGTAATTGCCTATTACAGATTATACTTAGGGATGTCCAACTCTGTGAAAACACGTCAGAATATAGGAAGGATTTGGTGATGCTGCTTCAGTTCCTCTGGAGGTGAATTTATCAAACTGATGGATGGAGCTATCCGGTGTTTCTAACACCCTGTTTTGCTGCAAAGCCATGTATCAGCTCTTATGTATTCGCTGTTCCAACAAAAATTAAATGGGTTTAAAATTTATGAAGAAGTAAGATGGAGCTGTCCTCCTTTCTTATCTGTACCCTCATTTTTGTTTACCAGGAACACAGAACTACAGTGGCTTAAGTGTGTTCAGCGTCTTTCCAACAGAGGGGGAAATCGAGGCTGGGAAGAGCCAGGAGTTTGTTGTTACCTTCAGTCCTGACCATGAGAGTCTGTACTACTCCGACCGCCTCCGGGTCGTGCTCTTTGGCAAGGTGAGACCTCCTGGGTTATGGGAGCAAAGTCTGAATGTTCCTGACCTGGTGTAGGGAGGGGAGGGCGGGTCTGGGGCCCACTGACCCTTCCCAGGTTTGGACATTCAGTCACGAATCAACAACAGCGACTCGGGGGTTCGGCCCCGTCCCCTCCCCGCTGCAGTGGGGGGTGAGCGCCGGGCACAGCTCCGGGCACAGCTGCGAGCAGGTCCCTGCAGGGACGTTCCATGGCAGGGGCAGGCAGGGCTGGCAGGTGCAGGGAGCCCCAGGGAGCGGCCGGAGCGGCGGCCAGGGCCGAGGGTCCATCTGCGGAGCAGCCCGGGATGCACCTCCGGAGGGGCAGGTGGAGGCACCGCGGGCACCCCGAGCCCTGCCAGGACACGGGGGCCAACAGCGAGGGCAGAGTGACCACTAATGCCCGGCAGCAGCACTGCAGACAGGGCAGGGCAGGCAGGGACTGCTCCTCTCTGCGGGCTTTGTGTCTCCAGAGACCTTGGGGATCGTCACTGGGAACACAAACCCGAGCCAGCTGAGGTTGGAGACTGGTCCCGGCTCACGAACCTCAGCCAGGTTTGCAACAGAGCAGTTTTGCCCTTTTTGGTGGCGTTTGTATAAAGAGTTTGTGCAGCCCCTCCTGGGGCACAGTGCCCAGAGTGGGCAGGGCAGGGCTCCTGCACTGGGGATCCTCTCGGCCTGGATCATTCCATAGGAGGGGTGCCAAGATTTCCATGCCCCTGGTGCTGCTGTGGCATGGAGCTGTCACTCCACTGAGCTGGCACCTGCATCCCAAGCTCTGTGTCCCCCCAGCAAACAGCCCAGGAGATCCCCCTGCGGGGAGCGGCGCGGGAACACCCCATGTTTGTGGAGGGGGGGGTTCCCCTGGACGTGCCCGTGGAGTCCTTGGCTGTCACATCGTCTGTGCCATCACAGGAAGCACTGACAGCAGGTAAAGTGCCACCACTGACACCTTGTCACAGAGCAGGGAGTGATGAGACATGGGAATGCTCCTCTTCCTTTAAGAAAAAGGCAATTAGAAGACAATTTTCCCAGAATCAGAACAAATGAGCATTTTGGTACAGCCTGTGTTTGCAGGAAACTCTCTTAAGGAAAGTTCTCTCTTAATTTTAATGCAGTTGTATCTTAATGGTCATCCACTTCTGCAACTTACTTGCAAAAAAGGATTATAATGTAACAGTGCTACAAAGTTATTAAGATGTGTTTGCTGTCTGTGGTTCTCTGGTGTGTATTAGGTGTCTAGAAAATTATTTCATGTATAACCAGATATCCTGGACTCTCCCATTCGTCCTGTTACAAAACAGACACACTTTCAGGGTTTTGAAGTGATCCTTCCTTAACTTCTGTGGGCAGGATCTGTGTTCAGGGACAGGGTGTGAGCAACTCCTGACTCCTGAGGTAAAAATAAGTTGAAGCACATGCACACTTATGGAATATGGTACACAGAGGTGTGTGCCATGGGCTGGAAAACCAGCGTGGAACTTGACAAACAAGCAACAACTGCAGTTTGCAATTGCAAATTATGCAAAACCTCCTTTTCCTGAACTCCTGCCTAGCTCTGTAAGAAGGGTCTCCCTGTCAGTGCCAGCTCAGGAGTTTGCCACAACACCACTTGTTTTAAACCCACCCTGGTGCAATTTCTGCTCGTTCTGAGCTGAAGTGGCTCAGGTTTGACTGTCTCTGTTTAGAGCCCCAGGAGCCGGTGAGGTCCCTTCTCCTGCTGCTGGAATCCGTGGATGGAGGGGGCCCTGCAGAGCCAGCCAGGGCAGAGCTCAGGGTGGGGGCTGTGGACACACCTCTGCTGGCAGCCAAGAAGGTGAGGGAGAGGAAACCTGCAGGTTTATGGCAGGTGCTGTGGGCAGTACTGGCAGTGTACAGGTACAAAACTCACTCTGTAAATGACAAAACACAGCTTTCAGGGTTTGTGATAAACTTTGCACCATGAAAGCATCCGTGTTTGAAAAGATTCTTTTTCGGGGGCAAATATAGGAGGAATAAGTCAGCAACATAATTAATGCAGCACTTTGCTTCCCTAATAATGAAAGACAGAATTTGAGCTCAGAATTAGATTTTGTGACAACCACGAACGAGGTGGATCCTCGGGGTTTCGAGGGGCAGGAGCAGCTCGGCAAAGGGCAGTGCAGGATGTGCTGTGTGTTCCCAGGCCGTGGAGTTCAGCCTGGACTCGCTGCCGGAGCTGGAGCGGGCGGGGATCGCTGTGGAGGAGCCCCGGGGAGCGCTGGAGCGCGGGCAGGAGCGGAGCATCCGCGTGTCATGGGCGCCACCTGCAGAGCTGAGCGTGAGTGACAGCCACGGGGACACCGGGGGGACACGGGGACAACTGGGGGACACAGGGACATCCTGGGGGGGACACAGGGACATCCTGGGGGACACACACAGCGACATCCTGGGGGACACACAGGGACATCCTGGGGGGGACACAGGGACATCCTGGGGGACACACAGGGACATCCTGGGGGACACACACAGCGACATCCTGGGGGACACACAGGGACATCCTGGGGGACACACAGGGACATCCTGGGGGACACACACAGGGACATCCTGGGGGACACACACAGGGACATCCTGGGGGACACACACAGGGACATACTGGGGAGACATGGGGATATCCTGGGGGACACACAGGGATATCATGGGGGACACAGGGACACCCTTTGGGGGATAACTCCTTCCAGGCCACTGTCACAGAGCACCGAGAGCCAAAGTGCTGCTGCTGTTCTGGGACAGCTCTGAGCCCCTGAGTGACCCCGAGAGGGAACTGCTGCATCCCACTGGCACAGCTGGGTTTCCATGGATCACTCTGCCACACTGCTCACATTTCTCTGGGCTGCCTTTCCTTTGGCACATTCCTGGAAGTCAGTGGGGCCTTTTGATTTCCCACTTTAGCAACCTCAATTCCCTGGCTGTTCCTGCCTTTTTGTATCCCAGAGGCTGGGTCTGAGGTCCCAACATCTCCACAGGGCCGTGACTGCCCCTTCTGATTCACCTCCCGGGGCATTCACGGGGACTGGAAGAGCTGAGTGGGATGTGTGGGATGGCAGGATGAGCAGCTTGTTCCAAAATTAGGCGGTTGCTGGTGTCACATGCACAGAGGGGCTCTGGGGTTCCTGGCAGGGGTGACAGGTTGACACTGTGCCTCTTGGTAAGCCCTGGCTCTTACACAAGCTGCAGCACTCACTGGGGGCTGATAGGACCCGTTTCCTGCCCAGTGCTCTGCTCTTGCTGTGACAGTGTCACAGTCAGGGGCACTCTGGGGTCAGAGGCTCAGTCACTGCCAGACCCCCCTGCCTGCACGGGCCGTGCTGGGAACAGCAGAGCCAGCACAGGGGGAGGGAGGAAACCTGGGCCCAGGGCTGGCACCACAGAGCCTGACCCACTCCCCTGCTCTGGGACAGAAACCGGGGGGGTTTCTGTGGTTTCTTGTAGGTCAGTGACCCTCCCCTGGTGACAGCCCTCCTGACCCTGAAGGGGGACATCACGGAGTGTTACCGAGTCCTGTTCATGGCTCGAGTCGTGTCTGCCTGTGCTCCCACCCCCTGAGGGCTCCCGGCCCATGGAGAGGAAGATGGAGGCTGATATTGCTGGGAATTCACTGGATCTCTGGGGAAACGCGGGAACATTGGGGATTGTTGCAAGTACCTGAGGGGAGCAGGGAGGGAAGGGACATTTAATATTTCTGCTCTGTTTCCCCCCAAATTCTCTGTAAACTCTGGTGCCACCAGGGTCATTTTCCAGCTGACTCTGGGACAATAATCTGGTGGTAGAAGAAGGAATTAATGAGGGGCCCAAGTAGCTACAACTGCTGTTAATCCCAGTGTCTCCCAAAGGTGGGCATTCCACCAGGAGGAGCGTTTGGTTTACATCCACATGGGTGGGTTTCAAACAAGGTCTCGTTTCCCAATTTCAGAGGCTTTTTATAGGATTTGGAAAATCCTTGACTTTTTTAAGACCAGAATAAAGTTTCATATCCAAGGCTCCTGCAGCCCATCTGGGCAGTCACTCTTACAGTGCCCTGTGCAACCTGCCTGCTGAGATGTGGTCGGGGGGAGCAGTGCCTGTGCTGCTCCCTGGGTGTGATCAGACGTCCTTGCCCTACGTCCTGGCTGTCCAGGAACTCTGGATTTCTGTGTTTGCTTCCCTCTGAATTCTGACTAAGAGGAGATCCCTGCCTCTCTCCGGGGAGGGCCCTGCAGGTGTAACTTGTGTCAGGAAGCAGCAGCTGGTTCAGGGCAGCCCAGGGTGGGGAGTGGAGGTAGCGGGGAGTCAGCACTGGAAACATGGATAATCTTTGACATCTTGTGTCAGCTCTGTCCTGAGTCACTGTAAAGCTGTGACAAAGTTCCCTCCCCCCACTCCGAGGGTGTGTTGCCCTTTGCCCCCTGTGGCTGTTAAATCACCGGTCTGGGTGAGGCAATCCCAGAATGGAAACCCTGTTTGTAAATATTCCTGTGGTAACGAGCTCCGGGGGCTGCAGGAGCAGCAGCAAAGCCGCTGTCACGAGAAATCCTTCAGCAGGTCTTCCCCCGTGACAGAGGAAGCTTGTGTGAGTGATGAGGGGGTTCCTTGTTTTTCCAGCCAGTTGTTCGATCCATTGAGACCTGTTCCCATTTAATAATGGATCGAGTGGCTGTGGAGTCACTTAACTCTTCAGTCTAAAGACTGCAGATGCTGCAGCATCAGAGAGGGGAGGGGCAGGAGCTGGGGGTGGCAGTGCCAGCCAGAGACAGCTCTGCCCTCGCCGGAGCCCTGGCACAGCTGGGCTGGAGGTGGGGACAATGGATTTTGTGTGCTGGTTCTCCCACAGCCTGAGAAGGGCCAGTAAATCCCACTCCATCCCAGAAAACTGCTGCACGTGGAGCTGCCCGGGGGACAGGGACCCGGGAGAGGGCAGTTCCCAGAGAGCAAGGGAGGGCACAGCGGGTGGGAGTCAAAGGGTTATTCCAGGCACATAATTTGGATCCTTTGGAAGCAGACAATTGGCTGGGATGGCTGGTGACTGGAAACAATTCCCCTCATAGTTCAGACAGACGAGCTGGACCAGAAGTGGTGGGTTTGTAGGTGATTCCATGAGCACAGAGCTGGGAGCACTGGTGTGTTCTCCGGGCAGGGATCAGTGCCAGCTCCCAGCAGGAGCTCAGCACAGCAGCCAAGGCCTTCCTGCAAGTTCAGCTCTTGAAGAGGCACAGGATCCTCTTCCGTTCTGTGCTTCCAAAGCAGGTTATCACAGCCAGAGCACTTCAGGCATTAAAACTGCCAGGAGATTCTAAACGTGCCACTGGGTCCACCTTCCAGGACCCCAGTAGAGATGGAGCCCTTACTGTGAGGACAACATGGAAAGTGTGACCTCAGGAACATGTCTACATTTCCTAGAAGCTTAAGTTTTCTGCACTTGTGATCATTCTGCTTTCAGACTGAGTTTTTGCAACTGTGATCACTCCTGGGTCACTGGACACAAGACTTGTGCTTTCCCACTTGGATCTAAAATCATAAACTGCATCCCGTGCTGATGCAGCTCTGGTTTAATAAGCAATTCACATCCGTGGATGGTCTTTATAATCCTTAAAAGGCAAACCCAGCTCATATCTGACGCAGAAAGTAAAAGAATAAGCACCAGTGTCACACACATATGAATAATTCATGTTCTGCTTCTCCAGAAGTGACTTCAGCGATTGCTTCACACGTATGAGCACAGGTTTTCCTGGGTGAGCAACGGCCCCGTGATCCTGAGCAGCCCTGGAGGAAAACACTGGGCTCGGTCTGCCCCGTGCCACTGCTGAGCCTGGAATCACTGCTGGGCCTGGAATCCCTGCTGGGCCTGGAATCACTGCTGAGCCTGGAATCACTGCTGGGCCTGGAATCACTGCTGGGCCTGGAATCACTGCTGAGCCTGGAATCCCTGCTGGGCCTGGAATCACTGCTGGGCCTGGAATCACTGCTGAGCCTGGAATCACTGCTGGGCCTGGAATCACTGCTGAGCCTGGAATCACTGCTGGGCCTGGAATCACTGCTGGGCCTGGAATCACTGCTGGGCCTGGAATCCCTGCAGTGGGGCCTTATGGAGCAAAAGCAGGGAATGCCACTGGTGCTTCCCTGGCATTGTGTACCCGGGGGCTCCCATGCCGTGGTTCCCCGGTGGTGTGGTGGGATGGCAGAGAACATCAAATGAAAGGCTCATGGGTGGAGATAAGGAATTTCTACATGTGAAATGTAGTTAAATCAGTTTGGAGCAAACTGACCTTCAGAGAGCAGTGGTACCTTCTCAGTCGTGTTTCATGTGTTTTAACGAGACTCTTTTTAAACCAGGAAATGCTCTGCTTTTCCAAACAGTTGTTTCGGACTCACATTTCTCATGCCAGGTTTCCCATTCCTTTATTTCTCCTTCCAAGTGTCTCTGACACAGCACAGGCACAGGGTGGGTTATCCCCGAACCGCTCCGGGGAGATCTCTGAAAGCCGAGCTCTGTCCCTCGGTATCCCCACCCCGACCTCCTGCTCACGGCGGGCTGGGAATGGGGCAGGAGCTGGGAATGGGGCAGGGATTGGGGCTGGGAATGGGGCTGGAAATGGGGCAGGGATTGGGGCTGGGAATGGGGCAGGAGCTGGGACTGGGATTGGGGCTGGGACTGGGGCAGGGGGCGGTCCTGGCCCTGCCCCTGCCCCGCCCGGCTCTCCCCGCCCGCTGATGCCGATGCCGGTTATTTATTCCGATGTGGCCCCGGCTCCCCGCGGGTTTGGTGTCCCCTTTCAGCCCAGCCCGTGTCCTTGAGGACGCGGCTGTGGCTGTCCCGGCTCAGCCCCGGAGCGCGGACGCTCCACCGCGGACCCCGCTCAGCAGAGGGATCAGTGCTCGGGGTGCTCCTCCTCTGGCCGGGGCTGCTCCCGGCCCGGCTCCCGCCCTTCCCGGGCATCGCTCTGCTCTTCTGGGAGAAGTGCGAGAGCTCTGACCGGTGAGTAACCCACTGCCCGACCCTCTCCCACCGGGATCCAGGGATATGACCAGGTCAGAGCTGTGACCTGCTGACGGCCACCCCTTACAGCTGCATTTGGATCTCTGAGATGCTCAGCAGCTCACAAATTTGACTTGGCTACCCTTGCTCTGTAGACTGAGGTGAACGATCCTCTCCCAAAACGACTCTGAAAGTGTCAACTTGTGAACAGTCTCCAGATCCTCCCCCGTGGCCAAAACCTTTGTTCTGGTGCCTGAAATCCATGGCAGGAGGTTCAGGACGTACAGTGTGGCAGCTGCACTGCTCAAATGTGACACAAGCTGTTCTCCTCTTGTACTGTAACAGAGCTGAAAACATCTCTGGCTGCACCGGAGCTGGGGAAAAGTAACTTTGACACAGCATTGTCTGGGCTGGCAGCGTCAGGCAGGTCCGTGCCACGAGGCACCTCCTCTCAGCTACCTTCAAACAACACTCTGATCTGGTTTTTGGGAATCCTGCACGTATCTGTCTTTCTCCCAAGAAGAGTAAAGCACCCCTTGGTAAAAACATTTGTTGGCTCAGAAGCCAATTTGTACAGAGGGATTGTCCGAATGTTCTCAGCTGGAGTAATTTTACAGCTACAAAGAACAGTTCTCTGAAAGTAAACCTAAAGAGGTTTTGCTCCATACTCTTACTGACTGCTTTCCCTTTTCCACCTCAGAAATCCTGGGAATTGTATTCCCTGTCACACAGGCGCTGTTTGACTGGAGCTACTGAACCCCCTGGAGCTACTGAACCCCCTGGCTCCTGTGCCTTCCCTCCCAGATGCCCTCGGAACATGTCTGACTGGACCAGCCTGTGGTATGTCTGGTGAGTTGGTCCCTGAGCTCACTGACCCGCAGCCAGTGGGAGCTGTTTGGAGCAGCACTTGCAGCAGGGGAATGGAAACACTTCTCGGGGTGGGATGGAGGGAAGGGCTTCTCCTGTTTTCTGGGAGCTGCCAGAGGAGTGGATTAGCAGAGCCCAGGGCAGATAGGGTGTCAGGCCCAGCGTTCGTCCAGGGCTGTGTCATCTTTCCTTTCTGAGAGCGCTCCAGTTGGACTGCAGGGCTCCTTGTTGTTCCTAAATAGCCAGAGCTTGGCTGGCTCTGGGCTGTTTGCACAGCACAGACTTGTTGGGACTTGGCATTGCCCCGGGCACCATCCTGGGCTCGAGGTGCCACCTCAGTGCTGGGTTTGCTCTCTGAACTCACACCTGGGAACTGTTGGAGTGACTGAAAGGGGGAAATAGGGATCAGCAGGAGAGGAAGCTCTGGTCACAAATGCCTTCATCTCTTGCCTAACACGAGCATTACAGACATTCAAACATAATTTTACGGTTTGCATTCTGTCCACACATTAACTCAGGTGGCAGCACACAGAGTGACTTGGGGACTTTTACCTGTCCTTCAGTCTGGACTCATTTTGGTTGATACTCTGCTTTCTTAGCACGTGCTGATACAAAGAACTGTTTAAAAATACACAGTTATGCAGAAGAGCTTGAGAAGGCTTCTAAAAACCTCCATGGGAAGAGTGGGTTTGTTTGGGAAACTGGGGGAGAGGAAGGTGGAGTTTCGGAGCAGAGGAGGACCTGAAACACTGGGACATCACCCTGGGGACACTGCAGATTGTTAAAGAACTCTCCAGCCTTAAACAATGGCTGGAGGTAGAACTGTGTTTTCAAGGCATAAATTATAATTTCTGTGCTCCTTTATAAATGTAGGCCCCAGACTTAAGAAAGTTTGTGCTTGTATTTCACTCCAAGTACAAACCCTCTGTTCCTGTGGGAAGCAGAGCCATTCCCACTGCCAGAACAACCCAAAGGTGTGGCATCCACGAGCCAGGATGGACTGTCCCCATGGGCAGCAGTGCTTCAACTTGGCATTCAGGGGCTGGGATCCAACTTTCTAACTCGGGATCCAGGGCCCACTGGGAACTAAACCCGGGAGGCTGGGCCTGCCTTGCAGCCGTTCAGGGGGATCCCCTCAGCTCTGGGGCAGTGAGACCCAGCCCTGCAGTGACGCTGCTCCCCGCAGGCTGATCCTGCTCACGGTGTTCCTGCTCCTGCTCTGCGGGCTCTCGGCGAGCTGTGTCAGGTTCTGCTGCCGCAGGAAGAGGCTCCCGGCAGAGACGTTCCCTCGGCACCCCTGTGAGCTGGCAGGGATCGGCATCGACAGCGACAGCACCGCCCACAGCACCGTCACCTGTGAGTACCCCGGGCGTCCCCCATGGGCCTGCAATCCTGGGCCAGCCCCTGCAACAACAGGAGCTTCCCAGGGCACTCCCAGAACAACTTCCAGCCCCACAGGGTGGGCAGGAGATGCAGGGAGGTCACCAGGGTGACACAGGGAGTGGGTGCAGGAGACGAGGAGGATGTGATGCTTCAGAGAGTAGAATGAAGTCCATGGTGGGTTAACCCCTTACATGTCCTCTCCCCCACCTGTTCTTCTCACCACTCCCTCATTTTTTCCTGAGGGACTATTCCAGCCCAAGTTCTCTCTGCTGTGAGGGTTCCCAGCTGTTCCTGTCCCAACCCAGCTGAGCCCCTGTGTTCCCCCTGTGTCTCACAGCAGTCACTGGCACTGGGATGCAGAGATGTTCCTCTCCTGGCCGCTTCCTTTGGGAGAATGCACAGCCTCCACCAGGGGGGATTCTCTCCTGACAGCTTAAATGCACAGTGATGTGTCTGACACCACAGAAACGAGCCCATATCTTGGAGAAAAGCAGATCAGCCCGTTATTTATCAGTGTTCCTCGCAGGTGTTTCATTTCTATTTTCCATTCTTTTCCTTCCCAGCATACAGCTCATGGCAGTACCCTCCAAGTGTGCAGATCCCTGCAGTGTTTGTGGATATGGATAAGAACACCGTGTCCCCCCCAGCCTACAGTGTCTATGCACTGGACTTGCCACCCTCCTATGACGAAGCCGTGCAGATGGGAAAGCAGGAGGCTGAAGTGGCCTGGAAACTCAGGGACATCCCTGAGCAGGGGACACCAGGGGGGCTGAGCCCCAGCCAGGACCCACCTGACACAGTGACCAGAGATCCAGCAACACAGGCAAATTCAGGGACTTCAGAAGGTGCCACAAAAGAACAGCCACAGATGTGACTCACTTCAGATGGGGAGTTCAGGAAGGGAAGGACTGTAAGAATCAAAGAGGACGTGAAGGGTTTGGGTTTATAAGTAGGTTGTGGTGGGAAGATGTTTCCTCTCGTGCCCTTGCAATGATCTGTCAGAAGAAATGTTTTCTGTGCCTTCTGTAATCCCCTGGTAAAGCTGCTTCAAGGATATGAAACGAGGTAAAAGGGCAGCAGTTTAAAAATTCCTGTAGAAGTGGGACGTGAATGCTTGTTCATCTCCTGATAAAAAAATACTCCTTGTGTCCAGCAATAAGAAAGGTCTGGGGAATTCTGCCACCTTGGGAATACACGCTCAGAACAGCACAAGCAGGAAGCTGTTGTTCCAGAACAGAAGTTTCCCAAACTGGAGCTGAAGGGGGAATCCCCACAAGTCCCACTGAACAGCCTCTGCAGTTTCTCTTCTTTTGAGAACATCAACTGTCCAGAAAATTGCTGAGCACAAACTGCTGCATAAAGGCTCCTGTTCCTCCTGAGCCTGGAGATGCCAAGCAGGGACAGGAGAGTGTGTGGAGGGAAATGCCTTCCTTGTGTTCCACAACTACAGACAGGGAAAGAGGCAGAGGAGAAAAGACACTTCTTGGTGGTTGTTGGTCATGAGACCCAAAGGGATTGTTGTTGAGGTTTTGTAAATCTTTAAGTTCCTGTCTTTGAGAAGAGCTGCCTTGTGTGGGGGATCCTTTCAGTGTTTGTTTTCTCCAGATGAAATGCACGTTAGTCCCACAGAGGCCCTTGCACACAAGTTCAGTGTTACTCAGGTGTTTCAAACACCCATCAGGCATTTCAAAGATGCCTTTTTCCTTTGTTATCTGCTCAGGTGTCAGGGTCTCAGCACAGGACAGAAAATCCCTGATTCCTGGCAGCTTTCCCCAGTTCAGGGCGTGGATGAGCTCAGGAATGAGCAGGGTGGCACAAACCAGCCAGAATAAGCTGTAGGTACAAATCCCACCGTACAGGCTGGGCAACAGCCCAAAGAAGTTACTCCTAGGGATGGTCCTTTGCGAAGTACTGACAGAAGGACACCTGCTGGGCATCATTTTAAACCTGGGAGCTTGGAGCTGGTTACAGCAGTCACAGCCCAGGTAAAAACATGGGCTGTGAGAGGCCTTTGTTAAATGCCAGCTCCTTCCCTTGCCTGCCCTTCCTTATTCCAAGTGGTAGGAATTTTGCCCACTCCTGAGTAGGGATTTTCTTGATTCCACTTTAGCAAGGTGCTAATTTGGCTGCCTTTAAGAACACGAGCAATGCCCAGGGTGGCTCCTTGCTCTGGGATTCTCTGTGGGATGGGAGCAGGAAGGAAAGCCTGAGCATTGGTGCTGTTAACGCTGGAGCACAAACCCCAGTGTCTGCCATTAACCAGCAGTAGAAGTGGTGGGCACAAAAGCCTGCACAGCTTTTAGAAGACTGTTATTCTCTGCCAACCATCACTGCAAGAACTGCTCTGGAAATGAGCACTGATGATTTAAGACTGAAGGTCTCTGCCAGCCACGCTGGTGTGTGTGAGCTGCCCGTGGCTCCCCGGGGAAGGGTCGGGTCTATATTTAACTTGCATGTCCCTTACTATGAGGGCTGACTGGTGTAACAAATCTGCTTCTCTTGTGTCTCCTCTCTGTCATTCTTAATTATATTTCTCCTGTTTTATTCTTTCTCCTGTCTTCTTTTCCTGTGTCAAGATGGAGACTGGGCATGACCCAGGGGAACTGTCTGGGTGTCTCTGGCTGGGAGGGCAACACATGCCCAGCCCTGGGTGTCTGCAGGGCACAAATACGGCAGATGTGTTTCTATTTGTGGAGCTTTTCCACCAGGATAGTACTCAGGAACAAAGCCTCTGCCTTTCCAGAGCAGGAATATCTGTTGGAGGGAAATGGCTGAGCTCCCTCACAAACGGAACGTGAAAGCAGGCAGAGGAAGCCGCAGTGACTGACACAAGAGGGCAGTCCCTCCCTGCTCGGTGGGAGCAGCGGCTCGGGAAGGGATGATCCTGCTGCGGGAGGATGGGAATAACCCCACGGTTTGACTCCCCTGCCCTCCCCTGCACAGCGCTCCTGCTTTGGGGTGTGGGCAGCGCCTGACCCAGCGCTGCCAAACTGTGTCCCTTTGCTTTGGGGGGATGCAAAACCCCAACCAAACCCCAAATGCCCCTGAATTCCCAGGAGCAAGGGCATAATCTGGGGGTTTCTCTCCACCTAAGGAACAGCCTTGTGCTTTGCCCAGGCTCTTGCTTTATAACGTGGTTCATTACCTCAAACAGAAGCTTTGTTCACATCACTCCTGCCCCGACCAGCCCGTGGGGACACAGCCTTGCTCTGCACACCACAACCAGCTGGGTTTGCTGCTCAGTGTTTTCAGCAGTGATGGCTCAGCCCTTTATCTCAACCATCTGACCCCTCACAGGGTGGGATCACAGCCTCGGGGGCAGACCCCCCCACCATGGTCATTATTTACACCTTCACAGGTTCCCTCAGCCCAAAAGCACTGCAGAGGTCACCTCCCTCCAGGCAGAAAGATCACAACGAGGGGATTTACAAATTCCCTTTGAATCCCTGCAGCAAACACAGAACTCTTCCCACCCTGAGAACGGTTTATTTTTGTGTAGGAAACCCAGTCCATCAGTTAGAACCACTGTCCCATGGGGGAACAGCGAGAGCAGAGCACCCCTGAAGGAACTAATGTCAGAACAGAGGATGGAAAGGCTGCTCTCCTGAATCCTCGTCTGCACAGCTGGAAAATGTTGCTCCCAGCTGCCTTACATAAGGCTAAATAGCAGGAATTAGGATGGAAAAGTGATCACCTGGGCTGTTTCTGTTTAATTGGATAAGTCAGAGAGAGTTCCTTGTTCATGCCTGTAGCTGGGTGTGCAGAGTGGAAGGAGGGGAGACAGGACATGGATTTGACTGATTCCAAAGCCTCACTTCCAGAAGGAAGCAGGTTTAAAAAGAACACCAAGTGGGAGGTTGGTCCCACAGCAGGTTATAGGCTCAGCTGGATGGAGGGTCTAAGAGCTCTGATTTGTCAGGCTGCTGGTTTTCTCCATCACTGGATCTCTTCAGGCCTCACTGTATCCACACCAGCTTTGTGACACCTCGAAGGGAAAAGCCCCTCTCTGTAAGTACCCAAAGTGCATTTTCCATCGTGGTTTATATTTGCTCCTCAGCTTGGCACTGTTCACGTGCAGTTTTTCTCCTCTCGTGTGCCCAAAATGATCATTTTGCCAGTTGCTTTCTCTTGTCCTTTGCTGGCTGTGTGACAGGGCCTGTGCTGGGGAGCTGGGCTGCTGGAGGGGTTGGTGCCTCCAGCCCTGCCTCTCCTCTCACACACATGCTCCCAGCACGAGCACTTGTGCTCTGAAAGGAAACGCAGACGTGGAAGTAAATTGCCTCAATAATTCATGGGCTTTATAGCCCAGAGCAAATTATACCTTGGCTCTGTCATGAAATTCGGGTTGCAAATCCCTTTATGGCCACGCTCGTTAACCATCCAAGGAAAGTGGTACCTCTGCAATGGCTTTTCTAATTGATGCATTATGATCTTTGGAGAGCATTAAGTGGTAAACCTGCAGCATCCAGAGCGAGGCATCAGCAGGGTCTGGGCACAGGGAAAGTCAGAGAAAACCCATTTCTTTGTCTGTCTGGCTGTCCTCAAATAGCTCAGAGGAAGGTTTGGTTGGGTTGGTTTTGAGCTGCATTTCATCTTTACCAGCTGCAGTTTTTGAGGGAAAAGGATCCCAGCTGTGCCAGTGCTGAGGGTGGGACACTGGGACACACGGGCAAAACCTGCTCACCTGGGGACAAAACAGCTCTCCCAGAATCACTTTGCAGGTTCTTGGCTGTCTCCTGGCTCTCATTCTAACCATCTTTACCTGTTGGAGCCCTTTTTGCTTAGGGGGGGCACTGACTAATTTTGCTGCAAATAGCAGAGGTTCTTCCCTTCACCCACAATTAAAATTCAAACTGCGAGAGAAGCCTTGGAATCCTACTCAGAGCAGACGGTGAAAACAGGGTATCACAGGGGAATTGTGCTCTAAAAACCGGAGAAGACAATAAATGTTTTATGAAATTCTGCATCCTAAGGTCAATGAACAAAAAAGGCTGAGGCGCAAAACCACGTTGCTGGGAAAACATTTTGTTCTGGTCAGTCAAAATTTAGAATACAAAATGCCAGAGCTCTTTTTAATCTTCCTGGGAGGAAAGAAGGGCCTGTAGAAAAGAACACAGACTTTAAAAGGGGTTTGGTTGTTGTTTTGGGTTTTTTTTTAGAATAACACCTTGGGCACTTGGAGAGAGGAAAAAATCCGTTTCTATTTCGAACGTAGAAATTCCTGAATCTGCATTACGGAGTTTGATTTTTTTACTCAGTTTTTACTGTGCTTTCCCAAGTAGCTCAAAAAGGAGGCAAAAAAAAAGAAGGGCCTGATGTTGAGCTCCCAAGTGTGCATTGCTTTTCCCCTTTCCAGTTTATGGCAGAACCTCCTTCCTCCCACCCACAAGGGAGGAAGGGCAGTGCCAAGGTCCAGGTAGTGCCCTGGGACCCCCAGTGTGCCACTGGTCTGGAAATGGGGACTGTAGCACTGCCTTTTCCTGCAGGGAATTTTAAGGATGAATACGTGGAGCGTGGGCAGCGCTGTCATAATGAACTACAGGTACAGTCAGAGCATGATGAACTTTGTGTGGGACATGAAGTGCAGGGAAAAAACCTCCCCACTCCCTCCCCCTCTTAAGGGGGGAAATCCAGAGAAGAAACCCGGGCTGAGTGTGAGATTTAGAAAGAGCCCCTGGACTTCAGGTGCCTAATCCAGACATCACCACAACATTCCTCGCCGAGGGGAGAGGAGCAGGAAGCTTTTTTCAGTTCCATGGGGCAAGAAACGTCCTTTCCCCCCTGAGCAGTGTCCTTTTAACCCAGCAGCTCCTGTGGGAGGGAGCTGTCAGACACCCCCAGGGCAGGAGGCAGAGCGGGGCTGTTCTGCCCCCACACCAGGTCACTCCGGCTGGGCTGGAAGGCAAGAGGGCTGTGAGGAGCCAGGGAACCAGACGGCCACGAAAACAAACAACGCCGGGTGTATTTGGGGAAGGTTTCCCTCCGGCTGTTCCAGCAGATGGGGGCAGTGAGCCGGAGTGGCCGTGGGAAGGTCGGCTTGTTCCGCACTTATTTCTCTTAAAGGCTTTTTCACCTTGATAGAAGGCCCTGTACCTGCTGTAAAATACTGGTTTGGGCCATCTGGGATATATATTCTGTTATTTTCCGCTGTAATAATCAGGAAAAAAATCTATAATAATGAGTAGGGCTCTCTTTCAATCAAGAGACATCCTGGAGTGTGACAGGCTCCATCCCTGCCACCGATATCGTGGGCATCCAGATCTGCACCAATTTCAATGTCTCTGCCTCTAGTTTCCATTGGCAAACACTTGTGGGATCACAGGGGTTGGAAGGGACCTTTGGCCCTCCTCTAACCCAGCCCCCTGCTCAGCAGGGCACCTTGCTCAGCAGAGCCCTGCCTGCTTCAGCTCTGAATTCCCCAAGGATTCGGATCTCACTGCCCCTCGGGACAACCTGTTCTACTTCTGACCACCCTTAGAATGAAAGGAGTCCTCTGAACGGGATTTCCTGTATTTTAGGTTGTTCCCACTGCTTCTCACCCTGGCAATTGGTTGATAGATCCCTCCTGAACCACCTCATCTTGAGGCCGAGCTTGCTCACCCTCTCCTTGCTCCAACCCCTTAACCATCAGAATATTTAACCCCGTCTTTTCTCCAACTTGTCTCAGTCATTTGGGAATTTCCCCTTAATTTCACCCACGGAATGTGGGCCCAGAGGAAAGCCCTGCAGGGAGCAGAGCTGGGTCCCTGTCCCTGTGCCTCTCCCCTGGGGCTGTGGGTTATTGCACTGCTCGCCCTGACCTTGCATCATCTCCCACAGCCAGAGCTGGCCACGAGCCATCCCAGCAGCCACCTCTGGGTGCTGCTCAGCTGTGTCCCAGAGGGGAGAAAACCGGCAAGATGAAATCAGAGAGAGCAGAGGAGAGAGGGGAGATGCACCCACAGGAACTGTGGGATCACAAATGGAGCAGCTGCTGGGAAGCAGGGAAAATAAATGCAACCTTCCTTCTGCTTTGCCTGGTGCTTTGGGGTGGAAGGTGCTCTATAAATCCCCCTCCTGTGGGACATCGTGCTTTAGAAGCACAGGAAATTGCCTGGATTAAAAAAAAAAAAAGAACATAAGGAATAATGCTCTTCCAGGACAGAAAAGGAAGACCTATTTCCCTTCCTTTCTCTAGTTTTATTGTCACCAACAAGAAAACTGTATTTCATCAGAGCATGATGGCCTTGCTCCCACGGGTTTCAATCAAAATGGTCACTGATGAAAAATACTTGCCCTTGTTTTCTTGTGTGAATTGTAGCCAGTGATACTGTAAACCCAGTGCTGTGCTGGAATAATAATGAAGAAGAATCAAAGTTTCTGATTGATTCCCACCTCTTGATTTCTTAACATATCCTGCTATTTTGGGTACAAAACCTATGCCCCACAACCTCCAAGCTTTAATCTTTAATTGACGTGCAGGATGCTGGTAACATGTGCCAACAGAATTAGAGAACAGAAAAAAAACAGGATAACTTGAGCATCTGTGGGATTAGTTTGGTGACTTCTTC